TTCATGGTCACATTATCAATCTAAAGATGTTATATACTGTACTTATCAAAGGTAAAAACGATGGCACCATTATAACAAAGTATTCCCATCTGATTTTATTTCATCATCACCTTCATGAGTGGACCTAGTATATAGACCAACATGTCGCCCACGCGAAAAGTTGTAAAAATCACCTTTTTCGTTAGTTATTGTTTTACAAATTTTTCTGCTCCTTCTGATCCATTAAGGTCAGTAAGCTTCGGTAAGCTTTCTTTCAAGTTTCGCGTTTCTGGATTGAAAGATAAATATAATGTGAAAAAAATGGCGATTTTGGTTCAACCCAACGACACTTTCTGTTTGGAATTGTCGAAATAAGAATTCTCCGATGCTGTCTGAAAAAGATTCTTTTTGAGTTTATTCAGCCCCATTTCTTTCATGAACACACGAAGGAGTAAGACCTGTTTATAAAAGTTGTACACTCAACGAGTATTATGAATACTAAAAAACAGAAATCAAACATGACCAAAAAGACAGCTAACCATTAACGGCTGTTTCATGCTTCTTGGCTACTCATCAGCATGTTCAAGACTTGGTCTTTTGTCTCTGGTCGCAGGAATGAAAGCATTGCACCTAACCTCTATACAGGACGTACGGTCTATCGAAACGAGACAGCGCTTTCCGCAGTGGTCGATTCTAGTGTGATAGAGGGCGCTTTGCGCTGTCATATTTTACTAAAACACACCACTTTTATACAGTTTGAGCGAAAAATAACAATAACATTTCTTCTAGTCTTAAAAATAATTGTTTTCATTTTCGTTTTCTTCGTGTAGAATCGTAAGGAAATGCGAGCATTCACCATTTCTCATAAATATCGCATTCACCTTGTATTAAAAGTTGATTAATCAAATATTGACAGCGGACGACAGAGGGCAAGGAAAATACATTTATTCAAATCAATAGAGGAAAGTGTCCTCATTTGAAAAAATATATAAAAGCATCTAAAAGTTTTAAAAGCATTACTTACGTTTAAAAGTATTTTCCACGAACCTTACATACTACTGATTTGAAAATAGGTACCAAAACTGGCACCGATATAATTTTTGATTATTTAGAGAGAAAAATCGACATGAACTTTATTTCTGCTCCTTGCCTTCTTCCATCCATCGTCTTATGTATATGTATTGCATAGCTTTAGCCATTCTAGAATGAATCCATTTCCGACATCACGCTTCGATATTAAAAAGGGATTTCAGGAGAATATGGGCGTTTACAGATAAAACAGAACACAACTACGGGAAAGGGTCCGGTTTGAGTATCTAAAACCAAAAACTTGTTCATCCGATAAAATCTCATCAAACATCTATTTGAATTATTATATGCAACTTCAAGTTGCATTAAATTTATTCCTAATCATTGATACAAGATGACGAACCTCAAACGAGGTGTAAAACCAACTTGAAGCTGATTTATACTGTTCTGATTGCTATTCGTTTTTACCTCAAATCTGTACCCTTAGTTGCAATATGGAACTAGCCCACTGTTTGTCTTTTGTTTCCATGAATAATGTGATTTTTTTTTGCTCAATTTTTTCGATTAAAAGCTTAATAACTCAAAATCTAGTGATTTTATCTGAATCAGACCTTATACCAAAAAAAAGCTTATAGAAATTTGAATCCAAACTTGCACAAATATATAGGGTGATGCATTTGAAATTTTTGAGAAAAAGTGCTATTCGCGGTTTTGACCACCCTGTATGAGCAAAAATGAAAATTCGAACAAGTAACAAATAAGATAGAAGCTGAGGGGTGTAAGTTTTTTCTGATACAAAATTCAGCACTCCAAATTTCGAAATGGCGGATTGAGGGGTCGCCGAAGTGGACGGTTTTTCTGGACAAAACACCTTACATCTCAGTAGCTAATTACCAAAACCCCATAGAATGTATATGCAATAAAATATGAGGCATTCCATTTGAAAAATCACAACTTTGATATGTAGGTTAAAATTGGGACACCCTGTCTAATTGCCAATATTTTAGAAATGTGCTCTCAAATGTCACGTATAACATACCATAAATAGATTCTCCCAAAATGTATTTGTTCATGAGTAATATTCCGTCCACACATGGATGGGCCACCCTATATATATATATATATATTCAGGGGAACATGTTAGGGTTACGGGCAGTCAACCAGTTTGGAGATAAGTCCTATACAGGGTTATCCAAATTAAGTGTCCACCATTAGTAACTTTGTTATTAGTGAAAATACAAAGTTGTTTGAATTAGCAAACTAGTAGCATTTTTAACGCTGGTAAAAATGAGAAATAAAAAAAAACAATTGAGAGTCGTTATTTTGATATTTTTCAGTAAAATAACATTTTTTTAAATGGAAACCCCTGTATATTATATTTTTTTCTGTTAAAGCATCAAATTTTAAACAAAAAAGCTTACAATAACTTTTCTCCTAGGTTACAAATTGTTGAAGTTATGGCCTCCAATCTGAAACAATTAAATTGTATCGACAAACTTTATTTTCAACATCAACTTATAATCTTACAAAATACAATAACAATTTTTTTAAAGAAGATGCTCGAAAACACCACCTTGTTCTTCAATACATTTTTGGGCACGTTTTTCAACTGCTCGAACTGTCTTAAGTATGGTCCTACCATCTATCTGGGTTATCTTTTCCCTAACTGCAGTCTTTAACGCGTCAAGGTTATCGTACCTTCGCTTGTAAATTTGGTTCTTTAAGTAACCCCACAAGAAGTAATCAAGCGGGTTTAGATCTGGGAGGCCACTGTATTGGGCCATTTGTTCCTATCCACTGATCATTAAAAGTAGTACTTAGAAAATGATAAGTACCTCTGGAGTTGTGGGCAGGTGCGCCATCTTGCTGAAAATGCAGATGATGTCTACTCATAAGATCCAATTCGCCTAAGAAATTAGTCAGAATTTCTGACATAAATTCCACATATCTTTCACCAGTTAGGGTTCCCTCATAAAAGAACGGGCCAACAATTTTTGAACCAATTATACCGCACCAAACGTTGAAACTGAAACGGACTTGTGGGCCTCTTGGATGTACTAACAAAAGATTTTCTCTTGACCAATAATGGTGGTTTTTCTATTAAACATTCCAGAATTTGAAAAATTTGATTCATCTGTCCATAAAAGGTAACGAAAGTTATTTACATTTTGGCGACAGAAGCTAAGATACCAATGGCAAAAAACAAGTCATCTCTCTGGATCCCCTGCCAAAAGCGTTTGAACTGGTCGGTACTTATACGGAATAAATTTGTATTTTTTTAAAATCCTTTGAACAGTACCATAACTGAAATTAGAGTCCTTGAGAATATCTGCTATTGAATTCTCACGATAAGCTTCAAAATATCCAATAACTGCAATTTCCGTGGCCTCGCTTATTATGAATTCTTTTTTGCCCTTGTTTTAGCAAAAACATTTTCGTTGCCCCTAAATTTTCGATAAAGTCTCAGAAAATATCGTTCATATGGTTGAATGCGAGCGGGATATAATTCACTGTAGTATTCTCTTGCTCTCAAGGAGGATTTTCTGCACACTAAATAGCATTCTAACATATCACACTTTTCTTCATGGGAGAACATTTTTCTTTAAATTAATGACACAGTAAAGCTTATAAACAAGTATTTACACTAATGTTTGACATTATTTGATTTTATCATTGTTTTCCAAAGCCTTCTAGTTGCGAGTATGTCCAGTTTAACAATTTGTCGCTTATCTTAATGCTCTCAAATCGCGAACGCCATGTTGTTTTCATAGCCGTCTTAATATTATAATACTGCAAATAATTAAAAATATTTATCGTTATTTTGACTTTATTTTTGACTTTAGCGGAAAAGTCATTATGAACTTTTTTGTTTAAAATTTGATGATTTAACAGAAAAAAATATAATATACAGGGGTTTCCATTTAAAAAAATGTTATTTTACTGAAAAAAATCAAAATAACGACTCTCAATTGTTTTTTTTTATTTCTCATTTTTACCAGCGTTAAAAATGCTACTCGTTTGCTAATTCAAACAACTTTGTATTTTCACTAATAACAAAGTTACTAATGGTGGACACTTAATTTGGATAACCCTGTATATCATATCCCTCGCTCCCCTTACAAGACCACCCTCCCCTCCCCTCCAGTGATCATTTATGTCCGGAAGTGTTGAATTCACTAAAAAAAGTGCGTGTTTAGGTTTCCAAACCAAAACTTGAATTAGATGGTTTTTATAAATATATGACAGTTCGTGTAGTGCCATCACAAAAAATGGGGTCAAGTAGGCGTTATCAGTTTATAAACTAGACTCTATGAAAAAAGTTAGTCAAACAGGCCCATACAAATAGTCCATATAAATTCTTTTCCTGCCTACCGGTACTGCTCTCCACGATACATAACCCGGTAAGGCGTGACACCGCGGTCGGAGCATAGGAAATACTATGCTGTGGTGCGGCAAAAATACGTGTAATATCAGTCTGCCTAGGTTTTAATTGCTAATGTACGGAGAAATCTATGATATGTGATGTGTGAAATATATCTAATAGATGCGGATAATTACCAAGGTTGGGAGAGTATAAATGTACTAAAATCAAAAAATTGTGATAAACCCTCCTCCACCCACAAGTTTTTACCTCTAAAATTATTTTCAAAAATGATCAGGATCCTCTGAAACGAAAAAACGAAGGTCGATCGATTTATTCTTTTTCGTTTTTGACATTTTACTCTGACACCACTGTACCGATTTTCATAAACTGCGTTTTTGCGTCCTTGGCATAGTAGTAACATTGTGTAAAAATTTCACAGAAATCCGAGCCGTACTTCTCCAGTTACAGGCGGTTGTAGGATCAGTAGACAGACCGATGAAAATGAGTGACATAACATCCAAAAAACATATTTCATTTTCAGAAATTTTCGCGATCACAATACTTCCCCGTCGGTAGCCGTGGGAAGTAAAAACTTGTCATTAACCAAGGTCTCTTTTTGGCTTTTCAGGGCCCAGACTACAATTCAGAGAGTGAAAGCGAAATGGCTGCAGAGCACGCTCGACTGAAAGATCTCCTCAAAGACTGGGAAACTGCCAGCGCAGGTTCCAGGTCTCTGCCGTCAACTCCGAAGCGTAAAGCCCAACCAATTGCCGCGACAAACGTTACTGCGGCCATAGCTGCTGCTGAGTCACTGCAAAAAACTCAAATCGTAGCTACTGCTGGAGTTGATAGGCCAGCAACTTCATATCCTGGACAGGTAAGTCATAGTCATCGTCCTTAGCGCCATAACCTGTTGACGCATTAGCTTCCATTCCTTCTTACTCGCATTGTTTCTTCAATTTCTGACTCCCAGGTTTTTCAAGTCATCTTATAGTTGACCTTCACACTTTACCGAGCAAACTTAAATATGTACGAGGAAAATGGAAGAGTTTATTCGCGGCAGCGTTATCTCTGTGGAGTTCCACCAGAACACATTTTGCGTCTTCGGCTCAAATCCAAATCATCAGTTTGCAGTGCCTCTATCGATCACCCCCAGAGAGTATTTTGGCAGACCTCCTGGACTATCTCCAGTGTAGATTCCCATTCCATTAGTTACTTAAAGTAGCCACGGGAAGAGGGGATCAAGTCGAATATCACATATTTTTTCCCGCAAGAAAGGACCAGGCATTACTCTTATGGAAAAAGTGATTTGCTCCAAACTTGGTTGTGTTATCCAACGGGTACTAATCAAATGTTCTCGATTTTAAGCGATCTAAAGGGTCCAGAAGGATCAGAAGTTAAGAATGTATGTCTTATGCAGCCAGACCGAAGTATTATAAATAGATAGATAGTTCAGTCGAATCGTCGTGAAAATGACCCTCGCCTGTAACGCTGTCTGTCGGGTAAATATTCAGCAAAAAAATATTGTAGATTTACAAAAATTCCCACAAAGCATAAAATTGATACACAACTTGAATACACCATTATTGAATAATATATCAAAACTCCTCGTACATCTTTAAAGCGGTACCTCGTTTTTTTGGATTGAAATTTCAAAAATAGCAGGTTTTGTCATATTCCTCTAAAAGGGAAGGAGAAACCACAAAAATAGCTGATACAAAAATTATACAGAATACAATTATCTATAAGAGCTGTTCAAGTACTTTCAATCCTGGAGACACCGTTTATAAGATCTAGTGATCTGTGGCCTCACAGATACTATTCTGCTCTTATGCGGCATATATTATGTGTACGCCATCGACCGTTCTATAAAATATATAGAAATATATATGTTGAAGCGTTGATTTCTGCGACTTATACTAAAATTCATAGTACTTATACAGGGTGTGTCAAAAAAAGTGTAAGTGATTTTTCTAAACATGCATTCCCAACACATCCTGGCCTGCTTGAGGTGCGCTCAAGATGGACAAACATGAAATTAAATTTTCGGAAAAAGTCATATGCACTTGAAAATTTGCTTCAGGCCTTCATTATGTTAACTAATATATGAAGCTCCCATCGATCCTTGGAGCGCAAAATATTCTGTGGGAGGTTACATGTCAAAATTACCATTGTAGAACATACAATTCTCTATAAAACTTGTCCAGTTGCTTTTTGTGATTCGCTGTTCACGCGTTCTTCAACCTATAGGATCTAAGTTACTGCTACGGCGCATACGTAGCACATTTGTGGTTATAGAAAAATATAGATTTTCTTCACAACTTTTCAAGATTTTGTGATTTTTTTTTCGAAGCCACTAACGTATTTTGTAAGCACCCTGTATGACTGATATGTATATATATATATATATATATTAGCACTGTCGCAAATATGGCTGTTTTCATACCTCAGTATAAGTATACAACGACCCACAACGATGAAGCATGCCACATATGCAGCGTAGCAGTAGCTCAGATCCTATAGATTGAAGAACCCATAAACAGCGAACCACAAGAACGCAATTTGACAAGTTTTATAGAGATTTGCATGCTCTACAATTTTGGCGTTATTTGCACCGTTCTAGGAAAATATGAAAAAATTTAAATTTTGACATGTAACCTCCAATACCAAATTCTACGCTTCAACAATCGATGTGGGCTTTTGATATATTAATTGTAATAACATATTGAAGGCATGACACATATTTCAGATGGGTTTGACTTTATTCCGATAATTCGATTTTCCTTTTGTTCATTTTGAGCGCACCTTAAGCAGACTGTGTTTGGATGGTACGGATCAATATTATTACCTTCTTTTTGAGTTTTTTAGGATGGCGCATTCAATCTTTTTGTATCCAAACCTTTGGTTGCTCATGGAATCTAATTTTAGGAAATTTACTGACACTTTTTTTGACACTCCCTGTATAAGTGGAATGTATTTTAATATAAGTCGCATACATCAATGCTTCCACATATGTATGTATATGTTCATATGGAACGGTCGATGGCAAACACACAATATACACTGACGGTGACTCAAGGAATAAACACTTTTGTAGATAATTGTATGCTCTACAACTTTGTATAAGGCGTGGCGTGGCATCTATTTCCCTTTCAGAGAAATATGACAAAACGTGATATTTTATCACCCCAAATAAAGCAAGGTTCCACTCCAAGGATATTTGAGGAGCCTTGATGTATCACTCATAATTATGTATTCAAGGTCTATATTGATTTTCATCCTTGCGGGAATTTTCGCAAACTTAACTTTTATATTGACTGAATTATTAGTCGAATGAGTTCATTCATACTCCAACCGCTAAAAATTGCGCGTCAATTGACGAGCTCCAGATAATTTTATCGATTTGATTTTTATTTTAGATTGAACATATTCAAAAAGATGCAAAAAATTTTCAGAGAAATTCTATGCTGCCAACACAACCGCGGACAATCCTCCCACCACCCAAGTGCCAATGCGTTAAGGAGATGTAGATCGAAGGTTACTCTTTCATGCATTTTCACGTCCCTTTAAGATGTCTTGCAACTCCAGCATTTTTCTAGGAGAGTAGAAGTTTGCTCATATTCAACTCGGCCCTCTGCTTTCAATGATCTGCTGTTAGAAATCAGTAAGGTGATGAAGAAACCATGCTTCTATAGGGAACTTCTAAAATATCTCAGCTTCATTAGCGACTGGCAGTAGGTAGTTCCGACACCAACGATCGACTGAGGACCTTCTAGCATACGTCACACAATTGTGGAGTAAGCGTATGATAACACCAAGAGATTTTGATAAGCCTGACGTGCTGCCCACCTCCTTCTTATGGCCTCTCAGAGAGACTCTGTAGTCGATAAGACATTCGTGGTCATTGACGATTTCTCCACTTGTAGAGAAGAGTTACATGGAGGCAAGACATTTGAAACTATATACTTTTTTGCCCAAGCTCCAATATCACGCCATAAATCAATTTTTATTGAATATTTAATTTTTAAAATAATGTTATTTTCAGATCCCACCAGCAATGATTCACCAAGCCTACGGAATTGGTCAGTTAAATGCGTATAGACAAATCAGTTACCCCAACCACTATGGTGGCCACCAACAGATTCCTCAAGGCGTTTACTCGCCACAGCAAGTGCCACCAAGTGGTTACCAGACCCCAGCCTCGGTCCAGTATCGTGCAATGTACGGATACCAGCAGTGTTGCCAGGTTCAGGTCACGCCCAAAAGTTACTCTTATGGTATGTGTACCTATCTGTACTTAACGACCCCAATTCGATAACATCAATTGCAATCGTATACCAGAACGTTTTGTCATTTTTAGTATTTATATTAAATTTTGATTGGTTATTACTTAAAGTAGGACTTGCGTTTGATGACAATTTAGAAGAACGGCCATGGGCCGACAATCGGGTTGGACCATTAAGGCCCGTATCGTCAGTCGTCCCTACAATTGTAGGGCGCCTTTATGGCCTCCTTGATTGTCATAGTTTTCTACTTCTCCGTATCAGAACTCTATTTTGAGGTTATGTCACAAACATCTATTTGCATCAAATTGTGCTTGATTTTGAGTTATATTATGTTTTATCAGCCTGAAATTTCCTACAATTTAAAAAGAAAACATATCTTCAATAGGAGAGCGCTGACGCTGACACGGGACAAGTGTAGTCTAGAAATTTTTGAAGTAGAGAAAGGAGTATGACAATCAAGGAGGCCATAAACGAGCCCTACAATTGTAGGGACGACTGACGATACGGGCCCAAATTTGCACATTTAGCATGATTTTGTATAAGTACAATTTTGAGGATTTAAAAATTTTTATATGTTCTAGTCACTGTATTAGCATATGTTTTTTGCGAATGAAATCAACTTTTTTTGCGACAATCCCTTTAATGTTTATATGAGTTCTTACGAGAATAGATAGTTTTCCATATTATTCAATTTTTTTAATCGATATCAGTTTATTATCATTATTACAAAATAGAAATAAGCAAAGTACAATACCCGCTTATTTACCACACAAACAAAAAGTTTATAGCTACAGTATATTCACTGAACCAAAGCAGCGACGACACAACATCAAATAATGACAGTGACACACGTGGTTGCCACGTTACTTAAAACTACTAGATTCTAGGAAAACTACAAATAAACAACAGCCATTGGCGTAATTACCTGACAGGCTTTGCAACAATGTCACAACATGTCACCAACATAAATGTACCCGGGAAATTCAAACCATACGTACCAATTTAGGATCTATTTTTCATTAAGGTTGGCATTCAAATTTACTAAATATGACGTAACTGCTTTGATTCAATGAAAGGAAGGACTATATAAAGTTTGTTCACTGCTATACCCTATTTCACGAGTTTCCATCACGGTTTGACGTCTACTGAGGTGAACAGCTGATCAGCAAGTGACATTTTTGTGTTAGTCTGCAACGTTGGCAATAATGAATCGGGTATAAATCTAGGAAAACTTATTTGTACCGTTTTGTTTTTTGTCGCGAGCTTAATACTTCCATCGTTTAGGTAGTTGTATATTTTGAGAATTGATTCAGAGACGGCGCAAATAAAATCGCTTATTTCCAGACATTGTTTGGAGAGGTTGAAAATTGTAGGTTGGAAGCTGTATGCGGTAACTGGGTTCCGAATTGATCGTATTTGGTGTCAGTGAAACACCTTCTATTACACTGATAAATACAGGATTTGTGACATGACAATTTTTGGGTGCATCTTATGTATTTTGAGACCCTTAATTCAAATCTAAAAACAGGAATTCTTCTATCACCCACAGATATTCGGTAGCATCTACTTTTATGAATTACAATACGTAACATCTCATATTGCTGCATTTCTCGGCGTTTATGCGATGACGCACATATATAATGTTAAGACCTGTCTATTCCTGTTTATTATATGCGAGTTCTATGTTAAGGGAGCATATTGTGTTTATTACTAGACTAATAGCAGCCGAGTCAGTCACTTCTTCTGTGTTGAAGAGTACTGAGATGTTCTGAGTACTGTTAATTTTTGTTAAAATGGTGTGTTGTTTTTAGTTCATTGTGATCGAGACTAGCTTTATGGACAATGTCTAGAAATTGTGTAAATAGTGCGAACAGTTTTTGTTATGTGTGCGGAGAGCTAACTTTTAAATCCCAAAAACGTACTTTTACTCCCCTTGTATTGAAAGCATACGAACTTTATTTTGGAATTAAAGTTGGCGACCAAGATAAATTATGAGCCCCTCATATATGTTGTAAGACTTGTGTAACGCTGTTAACAGGTTGGTTAAGAGGCGACAATCGTAAAATGCCCTTTGCGGTACCAATGGTTTGGAGAGAACCGAGAGACCATACTACTGATTGCTATTGCTCCGATGTCAACAATCGCCTGTTCATTGATTCTTCTAAGCTTAGTTTAAAACCGGTATTGGTACACAACGGCAATAAATATCCATCTCTAGCTATAGCGCACGCAGTTTATATGCAGGAATCATATGAAAATATGCGAGTTCTGTTAGAGCATATCCGTTATAATGAATATGGAGGGGCCATATGTGCAGATTTCTTGGAATGCAACTGGGATATATCAAATATTGTTGTTTTCTTTGTGAATGGGACAGTCGAGCGCGAGATCGTCATTATGAACAGAAGGAGTGCCTCAAAAACATTGCTCATGAACCACTAGTTTATCCCAAAAACGTGTTGCTTCCACCCTTGCATATTAAGTAAAATTTTTGTTAAAGCTATGGATGAAAGAGGGTTTCTGCAGTTAAAACAAACATTTCCGAGACGTGAGGCAAAAATTGAAGAGAGCATATTTGTGGGTCCAAAAATACGGAAAATCATGAAGGATAATGTATTTGACCGTGCTCTAAATGAAACTGAATTACGAGCTTGGAATGCTTTTAAATCAGGTACTGCAAATTTTTCAGGCAATGTGAAGGCGGACAATTATAAATATATTATGAGTGAACTAATTAATGCTTATAAAGGAATGGGATGTAACATGTCTCTAAAAATTCACTTTTTGGATTCTCATCTCGATTTTTTTTTCGGAAAATTTAGGTGCGGTAAGTGATGAATATGGTGAACGGTTCCACCAAAACATTTCTGCTATGGAAAAACGGTATCAAGGCAAATGGAGTGTCAATTTGCTTGCTGATTATTACACGACATTGTTAAGAGATACTTCAGGAGCAACATATCGCCGTATAACATCGACAACAACATTCTGAGATTAATGTTTATTCGAGTGGTTATTAGTACTCGTACACACATATCCTTATATTTTACGAGTATAAGCAGCAAATAAAATGCCTTATTGCAAGAAAACCGTGGGTACGTTTTACATAATAACCACCTTGTTTTGTCCATGTCTATTTTAACTTTTTTCACCAGTGTTATTAAGAAGCTGTTGATCTCAGTTAGAAAAGTCACACGTAGTTTCCCTACATCTCTGCCATAAAAACAGTAATATGATGAGTTGTTTTATATAGTTTGATATACAGAGTTTGAAGATGTATCATACGTAAGTGAACATACCTAATCACGATTCGATTTCGGCGTTTGAAACAATTTGACTCATCCCTTTTCTTTGAAACCTCTAATGAAGGCCTATGAAGTATAGAGTCAATCTACTTGATGTCATTTTTTTAAAATTACAAAGCTTCCTCGTTCTTGGCATAGTAGTGACTTTCTGTGAAAATTTCATCAAAATCAGAACAGTACTTTCCAAGTTGAATGACTGACATGGTCTTTAAAAAAACATATCTGTTTCGCGAATACTCCATCGCTAGTGGAGGAGCAGTAGAAAATGAATACCTACATGAAAGTTGAGTGACATTTAAAACGTTATGTAGAATTGGAAGGTTATCCTGTTATTTATTTTTCTGTTGTATTCCAGCTCTTGGTGTGGAAGTCAAATTTTCGCAGATATTTTATGTTCTTCATAGCATTTCCAATGTTTCACCTCCGGTTGTGAACTCCTTCAAAGCGCATGCGTTGTCAAAAGACTGGTTTCAAACGGTGTCAAATTTGATTCTGCTGAAACACGTTTTTATATCAAAATGCGTTTGAGTTGACAATGACAGCATCACATTCCACATTTGGATGGAATTCTATGTTTCTTCAGATATACTACTTAAGAGACTGATTTAACGTCTTTTTATGTAGAATAAACAAATAATCGTTATATCAAATCTATCTGCTACACATAAAAGATGAATGTTTGCTCATTAGCATAAAATTTCGAAGCAGCCGCGCAGGCAGAAGCCTAAATGGCAGCACACAGCGGCTGTTATGAAGTTCCCAAAGAAACTTGGTTAATCCGATTTTTGAACTGCCTAAGGTAAGTAGAACTGAGAAAAGCCTCCTGTTGTAGATTATACCACAATCTCAACACCCTCTGGGCAAAGGAGAGGTCATATCGGCCAGTTCTGCATGTACAAAGTTCGACACCTTTAGGATGGGAGGCCGAAGTTAGACGGATCTATCTGGCAGGCACATCGCGCAGCGGCATCATGTAGCGGTAGAAGAGAGCTAGATCGCCGACAGCTCGCCGGTGCGAAAGGGTCCCGAGACTATCTATTAGAGAAGAGTCATCGATCAGTCGGACAGTCCTTCTCTGGACAACATCGAGCATGAATAATGTAGTCGGGGCAGCACCCCAAACGTGTGAGCAATACTGGATGCTAGGTCTTATCTGGGCCTTATCCGAAGAAAAGAACTTCTTAGCCCTGAACAAAAAGCCTAGCGTTTTTCCAGATTAAGTCGTTGGTGATCTGGACTCCGACCAGCCGAAATAAGCGGCTCTTTGGAAGAACTCGGCCATCCATCGAAACTGGATGAGCGCCAAGACGCTTTTTATTCGCCAGGTACAGTACTGTGTTTTGGAAGCATTCGCCTGCACAAGATTGTTGCGTCCCCAAGCAGCGGTAACCACCAGGTCTCTCGTCAGAGATGAAGTCGCCGCTAGTCCTTTTTTTCCAGCTCACTTGCAAAGGTCGGCTTGTCGCTCTGAATTCCTGCATGTAGAGTACTGTGATTACCAAAGCTGTAGGCTGGGCTGATCGTACATTTAAGGAGGTCGTTGATAAGTAAGAGGAACAGTGTCAAAGCCAAGACCGATGCCTGGGAAACACCTGCGTTGACTTTGAGGGATGGAAAGGGGAACCCCATAGCTGATCGAACGCTTTCGTTGAGTTTACTCCACAATTGCGAGACTTAAGCTAGGAGGTCACCTGTGGATTGCTGGTGCCGAAAAACATAGTGCCTGTCGCTAATCAAGCCATGACGTTCGAGGTAGTTCAGAAGCTTGCGATCTATGCGCCTCTCCTGCACCTTACTTATATCAGAAAGCAGATCTATAGGCAAGGGTTGATCTTAGATCCTTTTTTTGGGATGGGTTGGACATTAGCAAATTAACAGTTTTCTGGGAAGGTGCCGGATTCGTAAGGTATCTGGAAGAGACGCGAGAGAACTGGAGCAAGCTCCGCTGCACACCTCTTCAGTACAAGGGCAGTCCGGACCAAAAGCTTTGCTGATGTCGCGCGACAAGGGCACCCGTCTTAGGGTCTAATGCCTGAATGTTACTTCCATAGTGTAGGGAACCCTTGAATCGACGGCGTTGGGGGGTCCATGGTGGAGTTGGCAGCAAAGATATTTGGCAAGCTCTTCCGCCTTAGGCTTTGAGTCGGTAACAAACGTACCATCCTGACACGTAAGTGGTGGAAGGCTACTACTGTGAGAAGTTCGTTTTAATCTGCTTAGTCAGCGTCCAGAAAGACCGACTTCAATTGCGCTGTGTCTAACTTTTATGTCGCGCTGGTCTTTTGCATTCCTGAACGCTTCGTTATATTTGTTTCTGGACTCGACATCGGCTTGCCTGTTCTCTACAGTGGGGTTCTGTAAAAAGGTTATCTGTGGCGTGATCTCCACTGACGAACAGTGTCGCACGTGCTGGTCTTTTGCATTCCTGACCGCTTCGGTATATTTGTTTCTGGACTCGACATCGACTTGTCTGTTCTCTACAGAGTGGTTCTGTAAGACGGTTATGTGTGGCTTGATCTTCCGCTGACGAGCAGTGTCGCACGATTTGTTGAACCAGCCGTTGAACACTGGTTTAGGCACTTTCACTGTATGAGAGATGTATTCCTCCATCTCAACGAGAATAATTTCATTTATCAATGAACAGGCAGCCGACACATCCGCGTCCGCTAAACAAACATCTCTCCAAGGTGGAGAAGAAGACTCTGAGCTTCTCCAAGTCGACATGTCTGTAATGCCAAATTTTGCGGCCTGGGCAAGTTCTGACCAAACCTACCACCACAACATCGTGGTCTGAATTACCCAGGGGAGACAGAACAGTAGTGCTGTAAGGGATGGGATGCGTGGTCAGAAAGAGATCCAGCAGGCTAGTGACGTGTAACGAAACGCGTGGGAAAAAGTCCTTGGGTAATAGCGAACGCTTCAACTGCACGAGCCCAACCAAAGCTTATTATTGAAATAACTGATGTTCAGGAAGTCGATCATGACAGCGAGGTATTCAAGCAGGTCATCCCAGTTATGGTCCGATGGAGAGTCATAAAGGCAGGAAATACGTTTGGGGGATGTTTTGGAGTTGAGGCGAAGCCACAGAATGTCCTTCCGGTCTGATTCCAAAGAAACGTCTCTGGAGCAGTTAATCAATGCAGAATCTGAGATTTTTGTTTCCGCCAAGAAAAGCATTGCAGAAACTCCGAGTTTCGCAAAAATCCTGTGTACTGTTTCGACCGTCCAAAACCAGTTTTCAAACAAAAAACTGATTTGCTGAGACACCCCAACTAGGTTTTACCGTATCTTGCTTTTTCCACTGCGCGTGCTCTGTCGGTTTTAAACCGTTAGAAATATGATGCTATATAAATATGTTGTGTTTCCAGGTAACGCGACTCCCCCAGTGTCCAGGCAACACGTGACCTACGCTGGGCAGCAACCACCTCCTCAACACGGCAGCGATGGTGGGCAGGCGGCAGCGTCAGCGGTAACAAAAACCTACGCGGCGCCGAACGTGAACAACGGCTCCCCAAAACACCTTCCTAATTATGACCAACAGACCGTCAACTATTCACCCGTGCATCGGCCATACAGCAGTCCTGTCGTTGGAATCGGATTAGTGCAGTCCGACAACGATAACGAAAATACCAGTAGGGGCGTTCTACAGGTACCTACATAACTATACAGGGTGTTTCCTGAACATGATCAAAAATCTAAGGGGTGATTCTTTAGAGTATTTGGTATCTTATCGATCTTTAAAAAAATACTTCGTTCGCACAAAATTTTTCGAGAATACGCCTATAAAAAAATTTAAAGTTAATACTCGTAAGTACCAGATACATCCAACGTCACGGGTACTATGTAAAAAACCTATAAAATGTCATATTGCAGACTAGGTAGTTCTTAGGGTGCAAACAGCCATTCCACGTTTGCTCACTAGGATCGTTGTGAGCGTCCATCTATGGAGGAATGACTCAACTAAACTACACGCATTGTTGGTTGTATATATTTTGTGAAGCCGAGTATTTTATAGCTTCCATCTCTGAGAAGAAAGTTGGTTGAATAGCAAGATCGCATCTGGATGATTGTTTGTATTGGTCTGAATGTGTATAAAATCAGTGATATTTGCTGTGTGAGAAAATCATTACTGAATATGCTGCCAATGAAGTATATCTATTAGCTGTGCCCGGCGGGTTATTTATATGATGTCCTCTCCTAAGACAGGTCATTACAATTTTTTGTTTTTTTGTGTTTTCAAAAACGTTGGGGAGAATTACGGGAAATCACCACCGCGCCCGCGTTGTGAGTAATTACTGTTAGCATGTACACGTATATTGTGACGATAAATAGTACTGTTGGCGCCATATGTTGGGAGAGTCTCCTACTCGCCAGACCGCACAAGCCGCTTGGCGGCGTCTGTGAGGACCGTGGCAGTGTTCCGCCTTCTAGATCGACCCGAAGTAAAATTGACTATTCTGGAAGGCCGCTATGTGGCTCTATATTCGTCTCGACTCAACGATGCGGACTATATAACTCGGCGGCCGGGACATGGAAGCAGAGTACGGAGAACGGTAGAGTAGCAGAGCGGAGTGGAGTATAGTTCAGTCAATGGCGCGACATAAGAATTAGTCAGACATAAATGGTGGTGTATATAAATGTTCTATCTAGCCCAGATAAATAAATTAGTGCATTTCTTTTTGTGTAATCCAGTGTTTTAATCCACACCCAAAAAAACGCTACAGTATGACTTGTAATTCGACAGCGTACAGTGAATATAAATATCTTATCTCTCTCACTTTTAAAATTCAGCAAATTAGCATATGTAATTTCCACAATGGATAAGAAAAAGTGGATGCGCAACTAATTTCTAGCTTTGAATCTCAAGTAAGTGTATTTGAGACAAGAATCCAATGGAATTATCATTAACACATATAATTAGCACACAAATCCTCACTATGCACCCACAAAACACATAAGACTGCTATGCACCTATGCATTGCCGTTACCTCCAGTAATGCCATCTCTGAAGCAGATTTTACATCACATCACAGCCAAATATTGATAACTGAACCCTCATGACGTTTAGGCAATACGTAGAACTGCAAAACAAGTTCACAACGTATCCCTCATCTAGTGCTAAGTTAACATCTTGTAGAACTCGTACACTAAGTAAAAAAATTATGGGATCAAATAAAATACTTTTTTTTATTTCAACGGCTGGAACGGATTCTGTAAAAGGATCAATGATCATTTATTGTTGATCCTTTTTTGAACAAAATATTCATCCTTCATAGGAGTTAGAAAGGAAACATGAAAATAGGAATATTTACGTTTTTTGTTTATAGCTCCATTTACCCACAATAACCTTATAAAATTCCACTTTGATGTGTCCAGACATTTTTTCTTTGAACATATTTCGAAAAAAATATAGGGTCACGTTCATTGCTGCTAAAAACATTGAAATCCAAAACATTTTTTTGAGCTTTTTCCACATCTTTTCTACAAAAAGCAGCAACAAGTCCATTTAGCGTTTTCGAAGCTTTGTTCAAAACAAAAAATAACGTCAAGAAATTCAAATTTTACAGGGTTATTGTGGGTGTGTGGAACTGTAGAAGTCACGCTCAACATTGTTAATATTTGTAATTTAGCCCTTTCAAAAAAAAACATAAACTACTCCTTTTTTACTGTTTCTTTTCAGTCCATATGAAGGATGAAAAAAATTGTTTTTTCAAGTACGTGGAGCTAAAAAAATAAAAAAAATGATTTTTTTTTTCGTCGCACTTTTTCCTAAATCGGCGTGGAACATGCAGCTTCAAAAATTTGTCTAGAAGATCCAAAAACAATAGGACCATTTTTACTCTGGAACAGCACTTCAAAGAATCATTAAAAATTCACAATTTTAGTTGATCAATAATTGTTTTCATTTCTGTAGGTTATTCTCTGTAGAGCCATCGGAAGTTCTTACTTTTCTTCGATATGTCAGTGGAAATGTCTAGATGATCTGAAAATCGAATAATTGCTGGAAGCAATTCAAGAAATGAGTTTAGTCTAGTTGAAAGAGTTGGCCAGCCTGTGTTAAGAATTCATTCTAGCTGACGAACCTATCTACCTAATGCGTTTTTCAATCTACAATGTGTGCTTATAAAAATTTGTCCTAAATTTTCTCGTGTTTTCCAAACAAAGCGATTTTTCGGAATCGTATTTACAAGAGCAAAGAGGAAGAAGTGCGCTAGTTGGAGTGATGCTTTTGTTTACAATGATTTCAACATTTAAAGTATATCTAAAGAGTAGTTTGGAGGTTCTTATGGAAAAAATGTTTTATCAAATTGCGAGCCGTGTTCTTGTGCTTGTGAACTTGCTCGACTGTGTTGGCTACTGATACTTTTAACGGAGGACTGCTATGCAATTCGAACAGTAGACGTGAAAATTTTTCATGTTTAGAAATTCTGCTGTGTTTGACATTTAAGGAGGTTGATATAGGGTTCTGATGTAACGGAAACGATACCATTTTGTAAATATTCTACCCATACTACCTCAGTTATTTTTACCAGATCTTGGTAACTTTTTAACGCAGCAAGCACTGGTGTGTTCCAATTAAATGACAATATCTAAGAATGCGACATTTAGGTCCATTTTTGGAAAAAACTTTATATGTGTATGTATATCTTTAGCGACCTAACCTTTTTTTATATATATATATCGAAGCAGCTGCGCAGGCAGAAGCCTATTAATGTGGACAAAAGCCACAACTCCCCCGTTCTTTCTCAGATTGAAGTGCATCTCGTAGTTTGGGAAGTTAAGATGGTTAATCGGTGCAGACTCTGAGATTTTTGTCTCCGCCAAGAAAAGCACGGCGGGACGATTGGATTGCAGGTAGTGATGAACAGCATCAATGTTGCTGTTGATCCCGCAGATGTTCGAAGAATTTTATCTTCGATGTTGTTCCCTCGAGCCCACCCTCCACCCGGACATTCCGAGAGTGGAGTGAGTTTACGTCCGGAGTTCTTAGTGCTCGACGGATCCATCATCATTAATTTCTTTGTTTTGGAGGATAACCGACTGCATACCTTAGGTGTGGAAACATGCGGACATTTATAAGAAACCCTGGGAAAAGCTAGCGGGTGGTACTGCCTCGGTCGACTGGTCATTGTCTACCACCTTCTTTTTACGTATTAGTGATGTTAAATAGACCTGAAGTGGCCCGTTGGCGGACTTGTACCGCCACCCGGCAATCGGTACTGAGGTATTCCTTAACGCGTGGACAATCACTTGAACGGGAAGAAGTTGTATACTGGAACTTCCGGAACAAGCATTTACCACGACCCCACTCAGTAGGTTTCGTTTGAGATACAGAATGGTAATACCACTTTAAACATTTTAATGAAATCTGAAATAGATGTACTATGTATGAAGAGGTATTTTTTGATGCACTACTTTTTTACATTGATGGTATGCCACTAATATCTTAAAATAAAAGTTATACCTGAAATCCTCAATCATTTTCAAGCAAACTTGAATGCTTGATTTCTTTACAATATGATGCAGGGTTTTTGCTTAAAAATAAAAACCGTTTCTTTGCATGATCGTTAATATGACAATGTTACTGTGCAGAAAATATGGTGTACCACTGACTCTCTATATTGAGAATCTTACCATCCTGTATCTCAAAAGTTAAGACATTTAGGACATTCGTATTCATATCCATCAAAAATATATATTATTAGCCTTGAATGTACATAAATAAACAGAATTTGATTTATTACCATACACTTGAATTATATACAGATATAAAATTAGTCATTTCCTGAGAATTTTGAGCTACAGTTTACAAAATTTATTTCATTCGGACATTCAACTACTGTTAACTTAGCGCGACACTGGATCGAAAACCGAATTCCTTCAACAAAATACGAGCATCGTGCAAAATTAGCATTTGTCACACAACTGAATATCTTTAAAACTGAAGTCCACCCTGATCTCTGATGGCGATAATGTCCGCAGGTGCTCAATAAACCAGATAATTAACTAAGATTTGAGTTATCTGCCACTGTGAAAGTATAAGAACTCTAGCCCATCGGGACGCCATGGCGAGGTTGCATCGCCAGCATCCATAGCCAAACTAACCTACGTGCCCTCCCTCACCGGCAGGGTTATTACGTAAAAAAAATATTTAATGTAGAAAAAAACTGACAAAATTTCAACTTGCCGACTGAATAGTTCCTAGTGTGCAAATAGCTCATTCCGCGTTTGCTCGCTATGAACGTTCCAAAAGCGTCATTTATTGAGAAATATTTGCAGAATGCCGAGATCTGTAGTCTGTAGAGTATATCTCTGAGATGTGACAGAAAGTATGAAGATCGCATCTGGATGATTGTATAAACATTATGTGTATAGCTTTTGGTCTGCATGTGTATGAAATCAGTGATATTTTCTGTGTGAGAACATTATTACTTAATAGGCTGACCGTAAAGTATATCTATTAGCTGTACCAGATGGGTTATTTTGTTGTCCTTTCTGAAGGGGGGTTATGTTCACAGTTATAAATTACGATTTTCCCAGGTTTTTCTGCGTTTTCAAAAACTTTGAGAAGCATTATGGGAAATCACCACTGCGCCTGCGTGGTGTGTAATTAAACCACATCACAGAAAAATTAGGAATGACGTATCACACACAAAACATTTCCGCAGTACCTCACATGTAGACGCTGATTTGTATTTTCTACTTAGCATCGCAAAATAAATTTATATAAAATTTAGATCACTGGAAATAAAAAATGTTAAATGTAATAACTTGTTCACGTTTCATAAATATTCCTCTTTGTGGCATATTTTCTCACCTGTTGGTTGTAATATACTTCACCAACCAGAGATTTTCTTTTCTTATCTTTATCATTTTTAAAAATCAGCAAATTTCCATATGTAATTTCCACGATGAATAAGGAAAAGTGGATGCGCAACTAAATTTCTAGCTTTGCAAACATCTCAAGTAAGTTATTTGGGACAAAAATCCAATGGAATGGCTATTGTATACAACTTATACCTCCAATAATGCCATCTCTAGAGCAGATGTCATATCACCTCAAAGCCAAACATTGATAGCTGAAGCGTCATGACGTTTAGGCAACACGTACAGCTACAGAACGGGTGCACATCAAGTAAACAACTAGTTTTAAGTTGACATCTTGTAGAAAAACATACATAATGTCACAAAAAACCTATATAATAAGGATTTTTTCGCGAGTTCACGGTGTACCCGATACTCAAATTTTCGCGAAGAATGGGAATAGGGAAACACGGATGTGACGTCGTCCAAATGTCAAAAAATCACGTGGTACGGGTACCCGCCTAACGTCTTTGAGGTACTAGCGGGTGACAGGTCTTATGACAACTTCATTTAAAAAACAGACATCTCAATTGAAAATTTGTCTTCGCAGTGACGAAAATTGAGTTAAATTATTAAATCATAAATGGAAGAACACGTCCACCTGATTTTAAATGACGAGGGAGAAGGTCATCGAAGTTATAGAAACCGCACTTGTCATATCAAATCTTTTTATTTCAGATTCAAACAAGGCAGCTAAGTTTATTAAGGAGCTTAAAGCAAACATTTTGCGCAACATGTGCCATCTAACCACTCCCGGTGTAACTTGAAACTGTCAAAACTTCGAGAGGAAGGGAAATTCCATCTGTTCCCGCTACGGTTCACTACGGGATCTCGCGAAAAAATCTCTAATGTTAAAAGGCGACATAATGTCACTTTTTAAGATACGTAATACTCCTAAGGGTCAGGGAGCTTCTATATACAGGGTGTTTCAGACCTATGGGATCAAGCTTGTAGGGGTTATTCAGTGTAACAGTAGAAAACATTCAAATGTTTTGAATGAGTATAGGGACCCATATTATCCGGAAAAGTGTCACTACAGCCCTAAGACGCGTTAAAATTTAGAAAGACGATGAATTGCCTAAATAGGATTTAATGCATTTAATTTTTGCCTTTTGTACATGATATCATCACAACAATTGTTCAAAATGTCTTCCTCCAACCTGCATACACCGTTCTTCTGGGGACATGTAAAAACTTTGGTTTACGAAAGTCCAGTAGAAACAGAGCAATACTTAATTGGACGAATTACAGCAGCATTTGAAATCATTCAAAACGAGTATCAACTTTTTAGTCAAGTCCGCCGAAATCATGTGGGACGTTTATATCGGTGTAATCAGGTTGGATTGTATTTCAATACATTAGTCTGGCTACGGATGCTGGCGACGCCTCTATGGCATCCGGCAGGATCATTACATAAAAAATCGATAAAGTGTCAAGATATTTCATTCCGCGCCTGCTTCAAACAAGCATGAAGTGACGACAGCTAGTTCCTAGTTGACATCTTGTAGAAAAACCTACATAATGTCAAAAAAATCGACATGTCAATTTTCAAGTTACGTAATACATCTATCGGTCAGGAAGCTCTATAGCTGCAATAGAAAGAGCTACCTTTTATAAAGTACTTCATATATTTAGCCCTGGAATCACGAAAATGGTTAAAGCCTCTTATTAGATTCTTTGAGTGTCGGTTCCATTTCCGCTGAATAAATACTTGTACTTATTTAATTCTATTACAGATGTGATTTTTTGTATTTTGCAGTATAAAACTACGTACGCCAACGGGGAAGTGATATACCAACAGCCACCATACTTATCTCCTCACTCCCAGCGACCTCAACCTTCTGTTGGCATGCAGAACCAGCAGTACAGGGATCCAAGAGAACAATCTTTCAGCCAACATCAACAGATGGTAAATTACTTTTGCTAAATTTCGTGCAAAGGGTTTTCCAATACGGATGGGTCGATGTTGGAATACAAAAAGCTGTGTGTCGAGTATTAAGGAAATTCTTTTTTATTTAAAAGGCCATGTTTCCGTAAATCTGCCACATAGTTCTGGCTCAATTTGAGTTATGGTCAGGATTATACTGACCTGAAAAGCATCTGTGGATAGTAGCTTACTGGCAATCAGCTGTGACTACAGAAAACCTACATGTACACCTCCACATCGGTCAATTAGACACGAAAGAAAATTATTATTATTCATGTATAGCGCTCGCCATTGACCACGATCGCCTCAGCAGCGTTGCTTCCCAAAAGTTACGGTTCAGTGGCTCCATTAGCAAGTACGCACTAAACAACTTGTTGCAGATCCAATATCACCTAAATTCGCAGATCTCTGCGCCAATAAGCCACGTTCCACTGACGCCTTCACAAAAAATATACCCGAGGTCATCGGTCATTTCACCAGAATCTACAAGAAAAAATCATTACAAAGGGTACTATAAAAGTTTTGTAATTCAGCTTTATTTATTAACTTCGTTAAAAGTAATTTCCACCACATTCAATACACTTCTCCATCCGTCAAAACCAGTCCTCAAACCAGCTCTGCCAAGTTTCACCCACTCGTTGTCTCTGTTGAGAATAATTACAAAATAAGATAAGTTTAGTTGTAGTGTACTCGATGTAACTTCGAGTATTCGGGTGTCTGAAAGGTTTGAAAGATTGACAAGAGTAGTTGCTAAGGAGTTGCCATTGTGTTTGAGAACTAATAAAAGTTCACTAAGTGCAGTAGTTTTTCTTCCAGAAACAGTAAAAGTAAATACCCGAACAAGTTATGGGCCGAGTTCACGCAAGTGCATGAGAAGAAAGAAAAACTTAAGAGAAGCAGTAAAATCCGTAAAATCAGTGAAAGCAAACCAAGGACTTTGACAGCTGAAAATTAAATCCGGAAAAATAAAAATGGGGTCAAGCAACGAAGAAACTCCAAGTATTGAAAAACTGGTAGACAGTGAAAGCTTTGAAATGTGGAGGTTTCAAATAAATATCGGTTTCAAATCTCAAGGACTGTGGGAGATCGTGAATGGTATAAAAATAATTGACCCATCGGCAACTGCAGAGGACAGGACATGTTGGGAAAAGAAAGATGCAAAAGCTCAGAAGTACATAATTACTACAGTTGATAAAAGGATTCTGCTACATGAGATGAGTTGTAAAACATCAGCAGAAATGTACAAAAAGCTATGTAGTATTTTTCAGAAAGACACTGAAGATCAAAAATGTGCATTGTTGTGTGGATTTTTCAATCTGACATATCAGAAGGGAAGTGATTTGTCTCTTCACATTTCTAAAATTTAAAATCTTGCATACAGACTAAGGAATTTGCATCAATTACTTATTAATTTATTATTATTGTCAACCTTACCAAGGCAGTACAATTACATTGCAACTGCTTGGGAATCAACCCCTGTAAGTGAAAAAAACATTAACAAAGCTTATAGCAAGACTCCTTGCTGAAGAGCAACGTAACGCTACACAAGAAACTGAGGATACAGTAGCATTCAAAACAACAATTCCTGTAAAATCAAATAAAAATAAGCAGTACATATGTTTCTCTTGTGGTGAAGCTGGACATTTTGCAAAAGCATGTAAAAATAAACTGACAAAAGGGAGATGAAAACAATGCAACATTTGTAAGAAAGCAAATCATGATACAGAAGATTGTTTTTTCGCAAAAAGGAAAATAAAAGGTTGTATCAAGAAAAAGTTGCTTTTCTGACGGGAAAAGAAAATGAGAAGGAAGTAAGGAAAAATATATTTGTCGTAGATTCAGGTGCCTCTTCACATATGTCGAAAGATAGAGAACTTTTTGAGTATATGGAAGAAACTGTAACAAATATCAATGTGGCAAAGAAGCAAGAAAAAACGATAAAACTAGGAATAGGGAATATTGAAGGTGAAAATTGTATCCTGAATAATGTATTGTATGTTCCTGAATTAAGTAAGAATCTACTTTCGGTCAATGCTGTAACAGAAAAAGGTGGAATTGTAACATTCACAAAAGGTAATAATCAGGAATAGTACAGCAAAAGTATTAGAAGGAAGAAAACAAGAAGATGGACTATATGTAGTCACCATTAGTGAGAATGAAACCCGTCTATTAACGGAGACATTTGATTCTTCTGCTGTTTTGTGGTATAAGAGACTAGGACATTTAAGCATAAAGAATATTAAAAGGTTGTTAGACTTATGCAATGGTGTAAAAATTAGTAAAAATGAGTGTCATAAACTTGACAAGACATGTAAAGTTTGTTTAGAGGCAAAACAAACCAGACAACCATTTAGAACTGTAAGATCACGTGCAATTCGTCCCCTTGAAGTTATTCATACAGATTTATGTGGTCCTGTAGATCCAGTTACATGGGATAATAAAAGATATATCTTGACATTCTTAGATGATTACACCCACTTCTGCATGATTTATCTGTTAGAAAAATCAGAGGTTCCAGAATTTTTAAAATCATATGTCAAAGAAGTGGAGGCTACTCACAATCTTAAAGTGTCCAAATTACGCTGTGATAATGGAGGTGAGTACATGAATCATGAACTTAAAACTTGGTGTAAAAACAGGGGGATAGTTCTTGACTGCACAATACCTTATACCCCACAACTTAATGGTAAAGCGGAGAGACTCAATAGATCAATAATGGAAAAGGCAAGAGCAGTGCTATTTGAGTCATCATTGAATAAAAATGTTGGGGAGAAGCTGTAAGATTTTCTGCTTATATATTAAATAGAAGTCCAAGTGAAACTTTGGAAGTAACACCAGCTGAAAGTTGGAAGGGTAGAAGACCAAACCTGTCCAATTTACATATTTTTGGGAGTGAAGCTCATGGTTGGAAAACTAAAAAAATTGGATGTTAGAAGTAAGAAATACATTTTCATTGGTTATGCATTGAATGGATATCGACTTTGGGATGATGAACAAAGAAAAATTTTAATAAGAAGAGATGTTGTGTTTAACGAAAGACAAATAACAGAAAAAGGTGATTCTCATGTGAAACTAGAAGAACTTAGTGAAGATCTAGAAAATGAAATCCCAGGAAGCTCATTAGATGAATATGCAGAAGAGCAAGTAGAAACGAGTGAAGAATCAGATGAGCGAATTGAAAATGCTGGAGACTCAGGAAAAGGCATAGAAGAACAAAGAGAAATAAGGTTACCAAGAAGATTTGAAGAATATGTCATGCTAACATATACAGAAGCTATGAGTGGTGAAGACAAAGAAAAATGGGAGAAAGCAATCATAGATGAAAAAGAATCATTGCAGAAAAATGATACCTGGGAATATATTTATAAAAACGATGTGGAAAATGAGAAAATCTGATCCAGCAAATGGGTTTTCACAATAAAGGATGATGGAAAATACAAAGCAAGACTAGAGATACGAGGTTGTGAACAAGCTTATAGAATATAAAGAAACATTCAGTCCATTAGTGAATATTAGTTCTTTAAGAATAATGTTTGGTATAGCTGCAAGAAATAGCTATCATATTAAGAAATTTGATGTAAAAACAGCATTCCTCTATGGAGACTTAGATGAAAAGATCTACATGGACGTTCCAGAAGGATATACTGAAGAGAACAAAGCTTTGTATGGTTTAAAGCAGGCTCCATTACAATGGAATATAAAATTCACACTAAAACAGAAAATTGTGTTTTCAAAAATCAAACTGGATCACTAATACTGGCTATTTATGTTGATGATGGATTATTGATTGGATCAGATGAAGAAGAAATGGAAGATTTACAAAAAACCTTGAAAACACAGTTTGAAATAATTTCTATGAACAATCCAACTACTTTTTTAGGAATGGAAATACTAAAAGTTTCTGATGGAATTGTTCTCAAACAATCTAAATATATCAGACATATTTTAGAAACCTTCCATATGGAGGATTCAAAAACAGTAAGAACACCTATGGAAACTAATAAAGGAGGGGAAGATCAACCTGTAAATACTCGTAGATTTCCTTATCGTGAGCTGATTGGAAGTTTGCTGTATGTTGCAAGTAAAACAAGACCAGATATTACATATGCTGTTGGCTACGGGAGCAGAAAAATGGAAAATGCCACTAACAGTGATGTAGAACATATGAATGGAGTGCTACGCTACTTCAAATTGACTGAAAGCTATGGAATAAAATTTTATAAAGACTCTAATGGAAGTGAAGTAGTATCATAGTGACTATGACTTTGCTGGTGATTTGCAAACATGGAAGAGTACTACTGGGTATATTGTAATGGTGGACCAATTGTGCGGTGCTCAAGGAAGCAACCAATAGTGTCAAGTACTGAATCTGAATATATAGCAGCTTCAGAATGTGTTAAAGAGCTATTGTATTTAAAGTGTTTAATCGAAGAACTGATTTGTGAAAATGTTGATGTGTCACTGAATGTGGACAATCAGAGTGCAATCAGATTAGTTAAAAATAATTAGTTTAACAGAAGATCAAAACATACAGATGTGAGATTTCACTTTATAAATGAAAAGGTGAAGGAGAGATTGATCAACTTGGTTTATGTTCCTTCAGAATATCAAATGGCAGATGTTTTAACAAAACCACTCTGTGTGTCCAAAACGACACGCTGCACAATCCCGCCCGATTTGAAAAATACAGCTATCATTTTTTTATTAATAGACCGGGAGCTACGTGTGTCCTCATCATCAAATACCCAAACTTTGTTTTGAGCCTTGGTCGACAAATCGTAATAATAGAGCCAAGTCTCGTCACCTGTCACAATGTTGTTCACATACAGAGATTGCCCCTCATCAAACATTTTCAGCATCTTTCGGCACCAAGTCGTACGACGAGACTTCTGCTGTTCCGTCAGACTATGCGGTGCCCAGAGAAAACAAAGTTTCCTTACGTGTAAATGGCCTTGCAGAATTGCATGAATTGCTGGTGCATGAAGGTGTAAGGTCTCCTCTATATGTTGTATGTCACTCTCCGGTCTTCGTCAAGCATTTTCCTCACAGTAGTAATGTTACTTACGTTCGCGGCCCTCCTTCCATATCAGCGTCCTCCAGAGCAAAATTGTCCCTTTGGAAGTCTCTGTACCACCTGAATGCAGTCGTAAGATAAGGACAATCATTCTTTAATCGAAGTGTCATTTCTTCTAAGGACTCGTCTATGCTTAAAAAACTGCCCTTCTTTCACTACGCGATCACGATGCCATAGTTCGCACTTTACACTGTCAATACGAATGAACAACTAAACTGACGTGCTGCTAGCAGCTACTATGCATTATGGACATGCAGTAACATGCAGTCTTCTGCGTCCGTTTGTTAAGTCATATTGCAAAACTTTTATAGCACCCTTTGTAAAAATTGGATGTTTGGATCCGTACCACTGTGCCGTCGCAAACAGTTGATCGATATATTTCATATAATCCGTGTATGGATTTTTCAATAAAAAAGAATTTCGTTAATACGACACAATTTATTTTATTCCGGTTCAACATAGACACGTCCTTACTGAAGAACACTTCATGTCATATCAAATCCTAATGAAAGCGTTTTTTCAGCCAAATTCCATGTATAGGGGACCTCCAAAACATTATCAAAGCAGCGTTACCATACCGATCACAGTGGACAAAGATCAAAAAGATGTGAACACTTTGCACAGGACTCAGTTTGAGCTAACGTGATTATTAGGCTATGAATACGTATATGTTTAAATGTAGACAGAAGTTCACTTCTAATTTGTAGTTATAATAACAGGAAACAATCCCATATGTTCCCACAACTTGTGTGAGGTATAAATACAAATATGCTGTATAGATATTCTAAATATTTATAATACTCAAGATTGAGCGAATTATAAAATGAAACCTTGCCGATACCGAATCATGAAAATTTCATACTGGACAGATGTAATGGGTATCTTCTAAAGCATAAATAATAAAACGACCTCCTACGTCGAGTTATTATAATCAAACAAAAGAAGCATCGATGGCAGTTCTTTGAAAATTATTTTTTCAAACGTTATCTATCACTGCGGGGAACGTGGTCTATTTTGAAATTCGAATGTTTGATGACGCACCGTACATTCCTAGCAATATTAAGCGAATTACTCGAGTTCTATCGATTGCAATACTCCTTCCTTATCCATATAGATATAGGGCTAAAAAACAGAGCATAGAGCTGTGAAATCACAGAACCTAGGCGGTCAATTTATCGATCCGCAACGAGAAATTAGCTGCACGACGAATTGTTGTTGCTTCATGGGTTGTGCTTCAAGTGGCGCCGTTCCGTCTTGTTGAAAGCAATTGTTATCGAGATCACAGATTCGAATTGCAGGTAGAAAGTATATTGTCATCACGGCGCAATAGCGGTCGCACAATAAAACTTAAAATTTGCGGACGCGTCATCATAAGTTGGAAATACAGAAAGTTCATATTGACCGCAGTAACAGGTTAAATTTCAAACAAAAAATCCTCAAAAACTGAATGTCAAGAATGCCTCTTTACTTCGATCAAAAAAAAGTTGTTAATAGAGGGCAACTTGATTAACTTTTCCTTCTGGCGAATAGTTTACAATCTAAATGGCTATATTCTAAAAAGTAAAGAATGGATTAGGGTGGGTAACTTGTAACAAATTGTCCATACAGGGTGTCCCAAAAGTCGATGTCAAGCCGGAAACGGAGGATAGGCCAAGTAATAATGGTTATCGGAAGAACATAAAAAAATAAAATAAAAGTTGGGTACTTTTCAAATTAAAGGCCTAAATAAATTCGGAAAAATCTACAACCTGTGATGATCTTTTAGTTCCCATTAGTATAAATTTCAATTTTTTCTCATACGGAATGACGGACAGTGTCATTCTACGTAGTGACAGCAAGACAGTTACGCCGCTTTTATTAATTCGTGAATGTATTTAATGAATTGACAATAGATGTTAAAACTGCCTTCCTTGAGCAGCTATGTTAGCTGGACATCTTAAAAATGATCGGGCGAGTCTTCAGTAATTTACAAATCAGCTGCTTCCGTTATCCTGTCCCTTAGCTCAACTAAATTTTCGATTAGCTTTGAGTAAACTTTTTCTTTAAACTTTTCCCAGTAAAAAACCAAGCGGATTTAGGTCAGGTGGACGGGCTGGCCACGAAATTTTACCAGACCGCCCTAACCATCTGTTCGGATATTCTGCATCAAGATATTCTCTAACTGAGCGGGTATAGTGCGCCGGGTAGCCATCTTACTGCTACCACATGTCTCTCTAAATGCCTAGTGGCACGTCTTCCAATAAATTGAAAGATGTTGTAAAAAATCTAAATAAATTTTGCCATTCAAGAACTCTGGCGGCTCAAAGGGTACAATGAATCTCCCATTTACGATCCTGGTGGATTTTCTACATACCACTCGTGTAAGTTATGTAGATTCATGTAACCATTTTTTTAAATGTCGAATCGTCAGTCCATGTTCTCTAAAAATCGCGGTGTCTTTGTAATATTGTTTGACAAAACACAACTCTCGGAAGATAATCCTGGGGTTGTAGAGATTGTACTCGCTGTACTTGGTACGTGTAGAGCTCGATCTTTCGCAAGATTCGCTGGGCTGTACTTTTGGACACTCCCGTGCTTGCTTCTATTTGAGCTACTGAAGTACTCGGGTCGACGACTGCTTCTAGTCCGACAACCTTGATAGGAAAGAAAAATGTTCCTTCACCATGCGTTTGATTTGGAAATCGTCCCTCTCAGAGTAAACGTTGCACACTCACAAAAACTCGGTGATCGGGATGACGAGCAGCATTTGGGTATCTCTCACGATAAAGCTGCAGCACCAGCATTGTATCTACATTCCCCATAAATGAGGTGCATGTTGCCTAAAGTTAATAGAACTGGGAAAAGCTTCCTCTTGTTGATTGTTCCACAATATCGACAGCCTCGGCACAAAGGAGCGGTCGTATCGGCCAGTTCTGGATGTACGAAGTTCGACATGGTGGACAGGATGGGATGCCAACGTCAGGAGGATCTGTCTAGCGGGCACATCGCGCGGCAGCATCATTTAGGAGAGCTCCGAGGAGCAAAGCTAGTTGGTGTAGCGGTACAAGAGCGCTAGATCGCCGGCGCGAAAGGGTCCTGAGACTGTCTGTTAAAGAAGAGTCATCGGACAGCCCTCCTATGGACAGCATCGAGCATAAATAATGTAGTCGGGGCGGCAGCACCCCAAACCTGTGAGCAATACACGAGGCTAGACCTTATCTTGGCCTTGTAGTCGGGGCGGCAGCAACCCAAACCTGTGAGCAATACACGAGGCTAGACCTTATCTGGGCCTTGTATAGGGTGAGAGGTTCACGCGGAGAACAGTACTTCTGAACCCTAAACAAATGAACTAGCTTTTTCCCAAAAGCTGCCGCTATTGACGAAATATTTTCGTGCCAGATCAAGTCCTTGGTGATCTGGGCTCCGACCAGCCGAAATGAACGGCTCTTTGGCAGAACTTGGCCATCCATCGGAACCGGATGAGCGGTAGAACGCTTTTTGTTCGTCAAGGTACAGTACTGTGTTTTGGAAACATTAAATTGTACAAGATTGTTGCTTCCCCAAACAGTGATAACCTCCAGGTCTCTCGAAAGAGAGCAAGTCGTCGCTAGTCTTTTTTTCAGCTCAGCGGCAGAGATCGGCTTGTCGCTCAGGATTCCGCATGCAGAGTGCTGTCATCAGCAAAGCTGTCGATTAGGTTGATCGTACATGAAAGGAGATCGTTGATATGTAAGGGGAACAATGTCGGAGCCAAGACCGATCCCTGGGGAACACCCGCGTTGACGTTGTGGCTACCTTGCGGCCAGAGAGAAAATCAGCCACCCATCTGGAAAGCTTCTCTGTGACGCCATAGGATGGAAGTTTTCATAAGAGGGCAGGCGGCGTGCCATAGCTGGTCGAACGCTTTCGTGATATCAAGAGCAACGATATAACAGAAAGCAGAGCTATATGCCTGTAGTAAGGGTCGTTTTTTTTTATTTTTGGGATGAGTTGGACATGAGCAAATTTCAGGTTTTCTGGAAAGGTGCCCGATTCATAAGATATCTGGAAGAGACTCGAATGAACTGGAGCAAGCTCCGCTGCGCACCTCTTCAGTACAATGTCAGGAATCAAGTCTGGACCAGAAGCTTTGCTGATATCGAGCGACAAGAGCACCCGTCTTACTGTCTTATGCCTGTATGTTACTAACATTCCCGCATAGTGTAGGAAACTCCTTGAATCGACGGCACTTGGGCGCCGGGGGGGAAGTCGATGGTGGAGTTAGCAGCAAAGATCTTGGCAAGCACTTCCACCTTAGCCTTAAATCGGTTACAATCGTTCCATCCTGACACGTAAGTGGTGGGAACCTACTCTGGGAGAAGTTCCTTTCAATCTGCTTGGACAGCGTTCAGAAAGACCGACTGCCATTGCGCTGCGACATTTTCCTGTGCCGAACTTTTATATCGTGCTGGTCTTTGGCATGGACTCGACGTCGGCTTGTCTGTTCTCTACAGTGGAGTTTGGAAAGAAAGTTCTGTGCGCCTTAATCTTCTGCCGGCAAGCAGTGTCACATTTGTTGAACCAGCCGTTGCACCCTGGTTTAGGCACTTTCACTGTCGAGGGATGTATTCCTCCATTCCAACGTGGATAATTTCATTTATCAATGAACACACAGCCGACGCATCCGCGTCAGCGAAACAAACACCTCTCCAATGAGAGGTAGACAAGTCTCTGATTCCTTCCCAGTCGCCATGTCCGTAATGCCAAATTTTGCGGCCTGGACGAGTTTCTGGTGCCACAGCGGGTTCTGACCGAAATCTAACCTTCACAGCACCGTGGTCTGAGTTACCCAGATGTGAAAGGCGAGTAGTGTTGTGAGGAACAGGGATGCGTGGTCAGAAAGAGATCCAGCAGGCTACTGCGCAGCTTAGGTATGGAAAGATGCGGACACGTAAAACACCCTGGGAAAAGCAAATATCTGTGCGTCACTCCGTCTAAGAAAAAATTGAATCTTATAGTAATGGGAACTAAAAGATGATCACAGTGTGTAGATTATTCCGATTTTTTAAGCCTAGTAATTGTAAATTATCTGACATAGATTTTTTTATATTTTCTCATAACTAGTGTGACTTGGCCTATCCCCCGTTTTCGGTTTGATATCCACTTCTGGGACTCCCTGTATAATATGGTACAATAAAGAAATTATAGCTTGTAACATCTTATGATACGGGCCATCTATTATGAGTGAATACCCAGCCTCTCCCAAACTACAGTACAAAACTTGCTTATTTTAAAAAGGTAATCTCCAAATTTTTAGGAAAACAGATCTAACTTCAAATTGCTGTATTTTTGGGAGTTTTTGCAACACGAGATCTCAAAATTTGATATATTGAAGTATTTTCTTTATATAATACCCTGTTCAAAAGTTACTGCTAACTTTTTTATTTAACTTTAAAAAGCTTCGAGCATTCTTGCCTTGATGAACACCATGAAATAAGGACATAGAAGATTATCCAATGACCTACCTGCCAGCCAGTTTATGCGCTTGTTTTTTGTCAAAAGTCTTTGCATTACTCATCATCAACTCTCCAGTTTTGAAATTACCCTACCAGTATGTATACCTTTGTTAACTGCTATTACTTTAGAGATACTCTTATTAGGACGTATTTTCATTTTTATGTTTGATAAATTCGGCCATTGTTTCCTGAATATTGAAACTACAAAAGGGTGATTATACGACTATTTTAATGAGTAAATAGAAATGAACAAAATATATGTGACTTAAGACTTGAATGATATGTAATAATCGGGTAGTAATTTTAGTTGAAAATACCAGTCATGTCTGTAATGAATAAATTAGATTTGTATCTTATATCATTATTGTATCAAGAATTGTTGGAGAAGATTGATATAAAAAACCTAATTTTCCTTTGAATTCAAACCCATCATAGATGGAAAAATTTTCTACGAATACTTTATGTTTTTGATTAAATCAAATACATTTTTTCTCCAGCAACATATTCCTTTGAACTTTAGATTGTCATTTGTAGTATAGTAGGAAATGAACTTGAAACATATTTTCGATTTTTGAGAACAGTCAGATATGCTTATCATGTATTTAAATGGGAATGAATTCACAAATTTTAAGACATACTTCGTATATTAATGATATAAATAAAATAGAAGTGAAGGATTGAACATTTACCAAGTATTCAGAATACAGAGAAATCCATATACCACTGATGATAGCCCTGTTCGTACAGCTATCACCAACCTATCAGTGATCGTGTCCAATGTCCTGCCACACAAGTTCCGTTCATTCTGCTACGCTATTTAGACAGAATTCACACTGTCGGATCCCAGACACAGTCGCCAACAAGTAATGTGTACGAGAGAGAAGCGCGAGAAGCATGCGATGCGTATGTTAGAAAAAGATAGAAGCACAACATTGCCTATCACCCCGAGTTACGAGGCCAAGGACACAGCTGCGGTTTGCCGCGTTGCTATCGGCGCACTCTCTCTAACATATGTACTGCCGCTTCTCTCTCGTACACAATACCCATATGTCACTGATATTTGGATTTCCTGTATATAGAAATATAACCTTCTTTGGAAATAATCGATTAAGTGGATTACTGTTATGAAAATATTAGATGAATAAAGTTTTGTCATTCATCAACATTGAAATCAGATGCATGTGACCTTAGAATTTTAAGCGAAAATTCAATGTTCTAATAAATAATTTGTGTATATAATTATATACGCATGTATTTAAAAATGTATTTCAAGTTTACATCATTAGAGAATATATTTCATTGTTAGCAAACTCTTTGAAATGTGATATTGTAAAATTGTAAAAAACAAATCATATGTGTATAAATGTTTCATGTTGAACAGCCAAATTAGAAAATATATATCTATAGAGAATATAGTAGAAGTATAATTTTATAAATTTTATTTAATTCAATAGATACATCATAGATGTATAGAATTCAAGTGTAATCTGAAAATATACTTATAGCTTGCATTTTTAAAATTAGTTGTTTGTCGCATGTTTTGTCCATGTTAATTTAATATACCTACATATCAATACTTTGTCTTTAACACAAAAGCGGGAAAACAGGAATGTAGCAGATATTCTCATAATAGTCGAATAAAGGATCAATAATTTTAATATACCTTCTGCTACTGCTATATTTGCACCGTGGCTAGCCAAGACACACTAAAAAATTATGTTGTTCCCCTAGAGCTTAGCACAATTCCTGGCCACTGTGGGAAGCCACCTCAAATATTTTGGCGATGTCATCTTAATCTCTAACAGCTTATATTTCATTTCAATACCGACCAATCTTTATTTATAAGCCGTCTTTATACAAAGCAACAACGTTTCTGTGCCCTCAACATTTTGCATAGTACAAAATACGTCAAACTTAATCTATAAACGAAACTTTCAATGACTATGAAACTACGATAAGTAATATTACTGAAATGTAAGTGTTGTATCTAGAAACATATATCCATAAACTATTTAGATGTTGAACTCTAACCAGAGAGATAACTATGCTTTGTCAGTAAAGGTACCCAAATATGTATCCACTTAAATATTAAATATGCATATTCTAGTTAGAATTCAAGTATGTAATTCCTGATAACTTTTATGAGAATATCTAAACTGGTCATCAAATCAGTCACATACTTCATAATTATTATTAAATTTACTGTCCATCGTTACTTAAAAAATGTCTCAACCATCAAGATGATTGCAGAGAATGTTGCGCATTTTTTCTCGCCATCGTTTCTGCGACTAATTGACTTCTGAGCGCATGCCGCTGCATTATGGAGAATTATCGTGCGCTAGAATTGCTAATCTGATCCGTTGATCTTGAAACAAACTCCATCAAAGCTGGGAGCTGTCTTTGAGGCGCCAAAAATACATTGTCCACATTTTAAGAAGAACCTAGCTTCATTCCCAGAAATCAGTAAACATGAGCAGTCAATTTTTAACAAATATCACAAAACTGTCTTAAAAGCAATTTACCAGAGTTTGAATAAAAGAGATAGATATTTTTTTCGTGTACAACTCTTTTTCAAGACTTATCCACTACAGTAATTTGCGTTTTTTTAAGATGACGTCCGAAAAAAATATTGCCGATATTCACAGCAACTGCTGCAGTCAAGTGAAGAAATTCCACTAAGGTGGCAGCAGGTCCCTGAAGTTCCTGCAGTTACTGATATGTGCAAACATGAATTGAAGCTTCACACTACCTTCAGCGATCAGTGCAATGTCGCACTGCTGAACTGTTGTCTGACGGAGTTTCTATTTGTCATCTCTATACGATGATCTTGTTTGACACCAACCTATGCAGTCCTACTAAAGCGCATTTTTGTGAGAATGATACCAGATTAAAATGTTTTCATATGCCATTTAGCTCCCTAAAACATATTGAAAACTGTAGCTGGGAAGATATTCAAAAACATAGGCAAACACATTTTGTCTGCTTACATAATCTATTAACAGTTTTAATGGCAGGTTTATTACAAAAAAAAAATGCTTTGTCCACATTTTAGGAGGAACTTCGCTGCATTCCCAGAAATCAGTAAAACATGAGCAGTCAATTTTTATAGAATATCATATAACTCCGGTTTTCAAAACTTATCCCTTGGAATCAATTTGGGTTTTTCAAGATGGTGACCGAATGCCAACAGAAGTTTGCTCTCTTATTATGTAAAAAATTACAGCTGATATTGAAAGCAACTGTTGCTATCAAGTGAAGAATTGCCATTTCAGTGGCAGCAGCTTCCTTAAGTTCTTGCAATTACTGATATGATAATCGAAGCTTCACACGACTTTCACACTACTGAACTGCTGTGTCGCAGACTTTCTATTTGCCATCTCTGTACGATGACTTTGTTTTACAGCAGCCTAAGCAGTCCCACTATGTCTGATTTTTGTGAGAAAGATGCCATATTAAACTGCTTTCATCACAACATACTATCACTCGGAAAATATTCAAAAATACAGCCAATCACATGTTGTCTTCTTACACAATGGACTAACAGTTTTCATGACCAGTTTATTACAAATCATATGCAAACTATTAGCCAGATTATCAGTGTTAATCCGAATTGAAATTAATTTTTTTAATGTATATGTTTTGTACCCTTTTTAATTTGTAAAAAGATACTTTTACATGCTTAAAGCATTGTATAATTTGCTTTCCTATGTGGAACGAACCTGTTGCATAAGCAAACATATATATATATATATATATATCGCTGGTGGGGGTAATAATTTTGGAAAAGTGAGTTTTGATAGACTTACCTCTTTTTTCACAGCAAGTTGTTTGACATATATCCTTCTGCACTATCCAGAACGTGAAGGAAACCTGCTTAAATATATTTCATTCACAAAAGGCTTACAAATAGACAAAAATATATTACACCAAATATTCTTCATCTGAGGAAGCGTCTGGAAAGACATCAATTTGAGCGCTAACAGTCTTTAAATTTTTAGAAAAATCCCAATGTCTTGAAATATAAGGAAGTAGGACGATCAGATGTTGTTTCTTTTCTACGAATATTGGCACAGGTTTGTTGTATATGGTTTCTGGATTCAGCATAACTTCTTGCTTTGAACGTACCTTTTTTTTAGGTTAAGACTCTTAAGATCCTCAGTTTCCCTTAGAGTGATTTGTATAGCAAAGTTCTATGACCTTTTACGTACCGCATCCATCTCACTTCTCTCCAGTTAAATTTGCCGCCTATGGTATTCTGTTTACTAATGATTTGGAATATAATCAAGCAACATTTAAAAATTGTGATTGTTCCATTGTACCATAAAAGGATTCTTCTTACCTACTAGGCGTATGAGTTGAGCTAAGTCATGAGGATGTTCAATTTTCAAAACGGTTTTTCTCTTTCTCTTCTCAATTAGGCTCTGTTCTGTGTCAGCTTCCATAATATGTGTACGGCCAGGTAACAAAAACTTATGGTCAATGATAGCCAAATTTAGACAATTTTCCAAAGCAATTAGACAAGCAGCAGAAATATATCTGTTCTTATTCTGGCCACCACATGAATCAGAGTACATCACGATGTGAGAAACTGAAGTATTGAGATTCTTTGTTAAGTAGTGAATAAGGCATGAACCTATCTCATTACCACCCCTCTTCGCCAGCGATTCAAACCACCGGTAACAAAACGCTTGAGAATCATCACAGTCATGAACTGTGAGATTGTAAGTCCACAGGTCACGGTTATAAAATGCTTCTCCACTTTGTATGACTGGTGTTGGCAGACACTGCTGTAAATCGAAGCAGATAGTTTTCATTGTAAGATCTGATTTGGAGGAGTGTTTATCATCCCATTTAGCATTGTATCCTTCATCAGCTCGTTGATTATGCTTAGTCAAATATTATTCGATCTTGGCATTCTCTTCTTCTGGCTTGGCCATTTTCAATTGCATTAGGAGTATGTCGCAAGTGCATCAAGAATCTTTTTTGGTTGCTTTATTTTTAAACTTAAACTGTGGAAGATTCATTCATAGGCTCTCTGATTTATAAAGTTTGTAGGATGTTTCATTTTATAGGCCTGGTACAATGACGCTAACGTGTAGTGCTGTGGTAAATAATTCTTTGATGTTTGCCTTCGAGTGTAATGACTCTCATACGCAGGAATGGATAAGATAATTATTTTCTTTGGCTTTTTGTTTGTCTTCGTCAGATATCGTGTTTCTATTAGCGTGAGACTACTATCCAGTGGCATAATTCCTGAAATATTATCTCTCTTTTTCTGGATTCACTGACTGATGTCAAATGTCCTGAAATACCCTTTGTATGTACGTTGTAAGTTATTATTTATTCTAAGGTGGTACACTGCAGTATCAATACGTCTTTTATTGCTACCTTTCTTACGAATTCTAGTAAATTTCACGAGTTTAAGTCAGATATATTGTTGGTGAAAAGGGGATAAGCCTACGCCACGAACTATTATAATACTGTGAACAAGGCAATGACTTGACTTCCTTTACGCTGGATAATTCTACAATTTTAACGACATAACTCTTTAGTGCATTAGCTAAATCTTCGCACCTGCAGCTAATACGACTTATCCCGCTTTACACTCACAAAGATGGACATCTATACGTTCGGTATATGACTAATTCTCATTTTACCAAAATTATGACTTATCTCCGTTTCCACCCCCTTCAGCGATATATATTTAATGTGATTTAATGCTATGGTAATGTATTTGTTTTATTTCACTGGTAGATTTTGAATCATTGAGTTTGTAGTTCATATATTTTTTCTATGCTACTATAATTATGAAACACCAATATTTACTGTAGCAAATCATTAACTATGTTACATATATTTGTGTATTGACTATGTGTAAAAACTAGATTCGTCTGACTACATCCACAAAGAGCACCTTTAATCTTTATTGATGATGCTATGCAGGTTCATGTAAAGTTGTAGTTGTATAAAGCAATATTAATATCTTGTATTTTCAAAATTGTAAATTTCAGTGTTTACTGAACTAAACATGTACCTTAATGTGCCTTCAAAAATAACACAAATAATGTTAATATTTACTATATCTTTATTGGAAACATCAGCATTCAATGTAAATCAACAAGAAAAATGGTTAATTGTATTTCATCTATTTCAAATGTTGATAATGCATTATACAACACAACATATTATATCAAAATATACAAACCAGATTTACATTCCACTTCTATACTTTATACAGTAATAATAAATTATTTCAAATAGTAGTGACGTTTGTATTTGATTTTTTGAACTTCACCCAATGAACCTATTCATTCTAATCCTGCAATATTAATAATACTCATCATACAGACTGAAAAAGATGTGCATTTTTATATTTGTAAGTAGAGGATCAAAAATACATGACATATACTGGACTTAGCTTGAGTTACATTTTATATATGGGTGAATGAGATATTTGAGACTTCATTGTACTGCCAAAAAACTTGTAGGCAAATCAACAAATTGAAATTATTAAATATCATGCTTTATTTTGAACATATGGTGAAATTAGGGTAACCATTAAGGTTTAGGCACACTAAGCTTGACAATTAATAAAATGGATACTCCCCTGGTGTGCTCCATTCCCGACTTACACTACAAATCACTCAAATCTCAGTATGTGTAACTGGTATAACAATATACAAATACCCTTTGTATTGCCAACTACATCTTATACATTTTCATGGAAAGAGTCACTAAACATTTGTATAAATTGTGTCATCTGCACATGGCGCAATTCAAATTGCATATTTTCGTGCAAATCCGACAGTTTCGCGACTTGACTTTGATTAATGGTTAGCAAATCAAATAGCGATAGTTTGAAGTTAGCATAATTTTGCCTACTAAAACAGGAGACATTTCAGTTATTCACTTGCAATTAGTTTTGGCCAATAAAGTCAAACAGATTAGAAGGATGTATAAAGAGTGGTCAGAAACGGGTGGTTCCGGACGTGCTTTCGGAAAACGGCTGGTAGGGAGTGATAAAGTAGATTATATTGATGCCAGAAATGTAAAAAACTTTTTGGTCTTCGGCCGTTTTGATGAATAATAGATTTTTTCAAATTTGCTATGTATAAACAAAGAGGGGTCAAAAACGGGGGGTTCCGGACGTGCTTTCGTAAAACGGCTGGTAGGGAGTGATAAAGTAGATTCTATTGATGCCAGAAATGTAAAAAACTTTTTGGTCTTCGGCTGTTTTAACGAATAATAGATTTTTTCAGATTTGTCATGTATAAATAAAGAGGGGTCAAAAACGGGGGGTTCCGGACGTGCTTTCGGAAAACGGCTGGTAGGGAGTGATAAAGTAGATTATATTGATGCCAGAAATGTAAAAAACTTTTTGGTCTTCGGCCGTTTTGATGAATAATAGATTTTTTCAAATTTGCTATGTATAAACAAAGAGGGGTCAAAAACGGGGGGTTCCGGACGTGCTTTCGTAAAACGGCTGGTAGGGAGTGATAAAGTAGATTCTATTGATGCCAGAAATGTAAAAAACTTTTTGGTCTTCGGCTGTTTTAACGAATAATAGATTTTTTCAGATTTGTCATGTATAAATAAAGAGGGGTCAAAAACGGGGGGTTCTGGACTTGGTTTGGGGAAACGGCTGATATGGTGTGATTGACTAGGTCATATTCATGCGAGAAGTGTCCAAAACATTTTGGTCTTGGACAATTTTGAAAAGCTATAGACGATTATATAGCTTCTAAAATATTAGGTTTTAAAGGGGGGTCAATTTGGGGTATCTGTGAACGAGATAGCACAGATTTGATTTTAGCATAAGTAAAATATGCTTTTTCTAACCAATTTACGTGAAACCGCATTTCTCCAGGTTTATTTTAATGTAATATCAATTTTTTCGCGGTTCTCCTCACTTTGAGGAAGATTTTGGAGGAGGGAGATAAAACTCTTACAGTACATAGAAAGCCATTAATACAATCGAACTACGTGAAAACCGCATCGATTTATGTTTATTTGGACCCAAATTACGTCAGTAGAAGTGGTAATGGCAAATTTTTCTCACTGCTGCTTTTTTACTGTTTCGATCAGAACTTCAGCCGCATCACATAGTGACATAATGAATATGGTAGGTACCAAAATACGCTATTTTTCTTAGTTGACATTGAAAGCCCAAATACAGTACATTCAACCCATATATTCTAAAAATGGTCTCAAAACACAAAAAATACCTCATTATCAAGCTTATATTAGGCAAGGTGCAAGATTTGAGATATAACAAATAATTCATTTCAAAATGCAACTAATGAACTGCATTTTATGAGTATAGTATAGTAAAAGCAATATCAATTATTTACCTTTTTAACTTTCCCATAAATGCCCAAAATTCCCTCCTTCTCTTTTTTCCTCTTTCTATCATAACTCTTTCCTTTTGCATTACATCTGCCATGACTATTTTTTCCCAGCTGCTGAAAGGCTGCTTCTTTCTTTTCTCTTGCTTTTTCTTTCTGCTTTTCTTGGAGTAATGTTTTATAGTTCGTATATTTTTTCTTCAATGGCTTGGCACCTATGGTCAGCAGAAAAGTTATGCATGCTGATAAATTCACCAATTTTATTCTATATTGCTTACATACGCGCCAAAAACGTCGTCATATTGTGCGATTTTCCACCAGTTTGGTGGGATTTTTGTACCCTCGAGAATTTTTGGAGGGCATAATTTACTAGTGAATTTATTTAGGGGATTAAAAACCTTTGGGTATTTTTTCCGTATCTATTTTCCTTTTTAGCTGTATGAAACTAGCACATGCAAACAAAAATTTCATCCTTATAGCTTTGTTCAATCATGCCTCAGCAAAACAATTGCTCTCGATCGTGCTGCTATTGATTGGCACCCGTATTACACCCTATTTCACGAGTATCTATCATGGGACAATGTCAGATAGTTATCTAGTAATATTTAAAAATTCCCCATATCGGCACAAGATATATAATTAATTCCGAGGGATCGGTGAACTCCTGGTAGACAGACCCGTATTTTGTTGTGGTTCTTTGTACGCTACAGATTCATTTTGTACTTGCTAACAACTCTTTTATTTAAAAAAGTTTCTTTGCATACGAAAGAAACGCTACAAGCACAAAGGTTGCTAATGACCATGACTACATTCCAAGTCAGGTAGGAATAAAATAAGATAAACAGTTTTTGACTATATTAATTATATCTACCTTTTAGAACTTGAAACACCATATGATCTTAAAGGGCAATGAAACAGCCATACATTTAGTTCAGAATGTGTGGCAGTATATATGACCGAGTTGATACAGGACCGATTCCCTCAATTAGGTCTGAACATTACTCAGGTAATTCTAATAAGTAATAAAACAGAAAAATGTAAGTAACTATTGCAGGAAGTCATGAAATGTACACAACTGGGACAATGCAGTGTTCATGAATACACGCATGGCCTAACTGTTGAGAACGCAAATGTAGTTTATAATGTTTTCGAAGAGAGTAAGATACTCACAAGGATATACCAAGTCAGTAAATTGATGTCATTCCATAATTACATATCAAGGAAACGGGAAATTCCAGGAAGTATATTTTATTTTTATTTTGCTATTTGAGTGATATTATGCATTTGATGTATCACAATATTTACAAACATAAGTAAAACTCTTCACCCATTTCTTTATGTAAACCTATTTGAAAAGCTACCTACCTAGTTTAATAGCAAGCTGCATTTTAGCTTCCCTTTGATTTTCAGCATTTTTTAAGGTAAATGATTTTATTTCCTGTTTCAAACGTTTAATGCTATATACTTGGTCATTTTTATCCTTATTCTCATTCTTTGTAGATTCCAGAACATCATCAGTTGATTTCTGTTTTTTTGATTTATAAGATATGAAAGATGTAACTTCGACTTCCACTGACTTTTTCTTTAAAGATGCTTTAGTCGGAACCGGAGAGAAGGCCTTATCATTCATTTTAAAGTTTAAACATAAATATTTACTTATATTTTTTCAAGTGTGCAAAAGCAAATAGTCGGCACAAACGAAAAAAATCAAAATGAACCATAACATAACCTAATATTACTACAGAAATGACATCGGTCAACGTCAAACACACAGAACCGGTACTGCCAGGTGGGTAACCGCACAAGTGGCGAAAATAGAAAAATTTAAATTGCCACTAAGAGAGACCACACACTATATTCATTTGAGTGTCGCCTGTTGCTCCTCAACCTTCCGTCAAAGTTTCACTCAACTTTTTTTTACTTAGAATCTCCGAATAACCAACTGACAAAGTGTTGACTGGTCACTATAAGCACCTCGTCTATACCCTATTTAACTGATCACCAAGTAACATTTTTGTGTTAGTCTGCAACGTTGGCAATAATGAATCGTGTGTAAATGGATATACCGCGTTAAGGAATACCTCAGTACCGATTGCCGGGTGGCGGTACAAGTCCGCCAACGGGCCACTTTAGGTCTATTTAACATCACTAATATGTAAAAAGAAGGTGGTAGACAAGGACCAGTCGACCGAGGCAGTACCACCCGCTAGCTTTTCCCAGGGTGTCTTATAAATGTCCGCATGTTTCCACACCTAAGCTATGCAGTCGGTTATCTACCAAAACAAAGAAATTAATGATGATGGATCCCTCGAGCACTAAAAACTCCGGACGTAAACTCACTCCACTCTCGGAATGTCCGGGTGGAGGGTGGGCTCGAGGGAACAACATCGAAGATAAAATTTGTTTTTCGAACATCTGCGGGATCAACAGCAACATTGATCCTGTTCATCACTACCTGCAATCCAATCGTCCCGCTGTGCTTTTCTTGGCGGAGACAAAAATCTCAGAGGCTGCACCGATTAACCATCTCAACTTCCCCAAATACGAGGTGCACTCCAATCTGAGAAAGAACGGGGGTGTTGTGGCTTTTGTCCGCAGCAGTCTTTCCTGCTCCAGGGATCTTTCTTTGGAATCAGACCGGAAGGACATTCTGTGGCTTCGCCTCAACTCCAAAACATCACCCAAATTTATTTGCTGCCTTTATCGCTCTCCCTCGAACCATAACTGTGATGACCTACTCGAATACCTCGCCGTCCAGATCGACTTCCTGAACATCAATCACCCCGCTTCAGAGGTAGTTCTTCTCGGTGATTTCAATGCCCATAATGAGCTTTGGTTGGGCTCAAATAAGACCGATGCAGCAGGTCGTGCAGTCGAAGCGTTCGCTCTTACTGAAGGGCTGACCCAGCTGGTGACGAGCCCTACTTTTTTCCCCCGCGTCTCGTCACACGCCAGTAGCCTGCTGGATCTCTTTCTGACCACGCATCCTGCCCCTTACAGCACTGCCGTTCTGTCCCCCCTGGGTAACTCAGATCACGGTGTTGTGGAGGTTAGGTTTCGGTCAGAAGCCGCTGTGGCCGCAGAAACTCGCACAGGCCGCAAAACTTGGGGCATTACGGACATGCCGACTGGGAGGGGCTCAGAGACTTCTTCTCTAGCTTTCCTTGGAGAGATGTCTGTTTCACTGACGCGGATGCGTCGACTGTCTGTTCTTCAATAACCGAAATTATCCACGTCGGAATGGAGGAATACATCCCTCACACAGTGAAAGTTCCTAAACCAGGGTCCAACGGCTGGTTCAACAAATCGTGTGACACTGCTCGCCAGCAGAAGATCAAGGCCCACAGAACCTACTTACAAAACCCCACTGTAGAGAACAGACAAGCCGACGTCGAGTCCAGAAACAAATATAACGAAGCGGTTCGCAATGCCAAAACCCAGCATGATATAAAAGTTAGGCACAGGGTAATGTCGCAGCGCAATGGCAGTCGGTCTTTCTGGACGCTGGCCAAGCAGATTGAAAAGAACTTCTCACACAGTAGCCTTCCACCACTTACGTGTCAGGATGGGACTATTGTATTCGACTCAAAGGCCAAGGCGGAAGTGCTAGCCAAGATCTTTGCTGCCAACTCCAACATGGACGTCCCCACCAACGCCCAAGTGCCGTCAATTCAAAGGGTTCCCCACACTATGCGGGAGGTAACATTCAGGCATAAGACCGTAAGACGAGTGCTGTTGTCGCTCGACATCAACAAAGCTTCTGGTCCGGACTTGATTCCTGCCATTGTATTGAAGAGATGTGCAGCGGAGCTTGCTCCAGTTCTTTCGCGTCTCTTCCAGATATCTTATGAATCCGGCACCTTCCCAGAAAACTGGAAATTTGCTCATGTACAGCCCATCCCAAAAAAAGGATCTAAAACCGACCCTTACAACTACAGGCCTATAGCTCTGCTTTCTGTTATAAGCAAAGTGATGGAGAGGTGCATAAATCGCGGGCTTCTAGACTACCTCGAACGTCACAGCTTGATTAGCGACAGGCAGTACGGTTTCCGGCACCAACGATCCACAGGGGACCTCCTAGCTTACGTCACGCAACTGTGGAGTAAACTCATCCAGTCTCATGGTGAGGCTCATGTCGTTGCTCTTGACATCACGAAAGCGTTCGATCAGCTGTGGCACGCTGCCCTCTTAAGCAAACTTACATCCTACGGCCTCCCAGAGAAGCTTTGCAGATGGGTGGCTGACTATCTCTGGCCGCAGGATGTCCGTCGTAGTTGACGGATTCTCCTCTTCATCCCACAACGTCAACGCGGGTGTTCCCCAGGGATCGGTCTTGGCTCCAACACTGTTTCTCTTACATATCAACGACCTCCTTTCCTGCACGATCAACCCAATCCACAGCTTCGCTGATGACAGCACTCTACATGCAGGAATTCAGAGTGACAAGCCGATCTCTGCCGCTGAGCTGGAAAAAAGAAGACTAGCGACGACTTCTTCTCTGACAAGAGACCTGGAGGCTATCACTGCTTGGGGACGCAACAATCTTGTACAGCTCAATGCTTCCAAAACACAGTACTGTACTTTGACGAACAAAAAGCGTCCTAGCGCTCATACAGTTTCGATGGACGGTCGAGTTCTACCAAAGAGCCATTCATTTCGGCTGGTCGGAGTCCAGATCACCGAGGACCTGATCTGGCACGAACACATCTCTTCAATAGCTGCAGCTGCTGGGAAAAAGCTAGGCTATTTGTTTAGGGCTAAGAAGTACTTTTCTCCGCATGACCTTCTCACTCTATACAAGGCCCAGATAAGGCCTAGCCTCGAGTATTGCTCACACATTTGGGGTGCTGCCGCCCCGACTACATTGTCTATGCTCGATGCTGTCCAGAGGAGGGCGGTCCGACTGATCGATGACTCTTCTCTAACAGACAGTCTCGGGACTCTTTCGCATCGGCGGGCCGTCGGCGATCTAGCTCTTTTCTATCGCTACACCAACGGGCTTTGCTCCTCAGAGCTCTCTTCCATGATGCCGCCGCGCGATGTGCCTGCCAGACAGACCCGCCTGACTTCGGCGTCCCGCGTGTCAAACTTCGTACATCCAGAACTGGCCGATACGACCGCTCCTTTGTCCCGAGGGTGTCTAGATTGTGGAACAAACTACGGGAGGAAGCTTTTCCCAGTTCTACTAACCTTAGGCAGTTCAAAAATCGTATTAACAAAATTTCTTTGGGATCATCATAGCAGCCGCGGTGTTCCGGCATTTAGGCTTCTGCCTGCGCGGCTGTTTCGATATAAAAAAAAAAAAATCTAGCAAAACTTGTTTGTAGCGTTATGTTTTCTGAATAAAAGAACTGTTAGCAAGTACAAAATGAATCTGTAGCATACAAAAAACCAAAACAAAATACGGCTCTGACTAGCTGACGTTAACGGATTCGTCGGAATTATGTGTCATGTGCCGATATGGGGAATTTTGAGATATTACTAGAAAATCAGCTGTTATTCTACCGCATGGATACTTGTGTAGGGAATACTTGATAATCTGCTGTCATTCTACCGTGATGGATACTCGTGAAATAGGGTATGTAGGGTATAAAGAGACAGTTAACCAAAATATTTATTCCTGAGGTGAATCCTGAAATGTCTAGTTTTAAATATCTATGTACTTTTTCTAGCAATAAAAAAATATTACCATAAAAAAATAACGACCGAATTTTATTCAAATAAATATTTACAAACAAAACCATTAAATTAAATTTTGTGTAATTTACTGTTGCTGGGGTTTTTCTTCAGAGGGTATGCAGATCATGGTCAGAGCAATTGCTGTAGCAACAGCTAATGCCAACATGATGTAACCAGTAATGTATACATCCTTGATAGTCAAAAATCTGCCTGTGTCCCAGATCAAATGGCGAATTCCATTCCAAAAGTGGTAGGAAAGAGGGAATGCTAACATGAACTTGACAATACTTATGCCCACTGTCCCTATTTCCAAGCATTCCAATTTCTCAATATAATCAGGAATTGATTCAGGTAGCACAATAGCTCCTATGCCCAAAGCTATCACATAAGCAGACAGTGCCATACCTGAAAAAAATGCATCATCTTAATATAACATTAAGTTTTTCAAAAGGATAGGTTGATGGGAGATAAAAAAATGAAATGTATTTGAGGTGTCAATGAAATTCTTTTTTCATTTCAAAGGTTCAAGTATGCTACTTTGTATGGAATATATAGTTCCCACAGAGACACAAATACAAAAGTTCAAATTTTCAATTGTTGTATTGCATAGATCTACCTGAATTTGAATGATGGTGCTGGAGCTTTGATAATGCTGAGGATTTCAGCTTAATAACAAACCTGTAGATCCAGAATACCCCACAAAAAAAGAATATAACAGGTTAAACTAGTGGGCTTTTTTATGATGGTATTTTACCTCTTCCTGGATATGCCAGTGGTACTCAACATGATGAGATAATTCACTAGGTTTTCTTTTCATTTGTTGAATCATTGTACTACACTTAAGTTAGGATATTCATTTTAGAGCTTTTCTTGATGTGCACTAGTTATTAACAATATAGCTGATTCTGTTATAAGAATCACATATACAAACTATTCACATTTGATTAGACTACTTTCAACAGTGATCTTTGTTCTGAAAATTCAGTTTCAAATTGCCTGTTAAAATGAAATAATATGGACTAATGGCTGACTATAATATATAAACATTAAATTTTGGTCACTTGATTCCTCCATGTATAGAACAATCTATACCGGGTGCACCATCTTTTATGTCGGTATTGAAACATCGAATGACTTTGATATTTACCAACCGAGTGATTTGGTTATACGTGTTTCTGAAACGTCAATTTACTACAATTTTAGTCATGAATCGCTTTACACCGAAACAACGCGCCGAGTCACAATGTACATTGAAAATCGCCGTTCAGTTGTGTTAACGCAACGTGCATATCGTCGAAAATATCGCGGCAAACAGCACCGGCTGACAACACTATTCGTCGTTCCTTGAGTACGGGACAGTGGGAGATCGTCGACATAGGCTTCGTTCCAACAAACTCGTGTAGCGTACAGTGAACCGTCATGAGCGTGCGCAGTACTTTTTTAGTGTCACTTAAAACATACTGCGCACGCTCATTACGATTCACTGTACGGTACACGGCTTTGTTGGAACGAAGCCATAGAAACATACCATTCACCAATTAATCGGTTGAAGCAGTCAGAGACAGCGTTGCCCAGAACCCAAAAGTGTCGTATCGTCACCGCGCTCAGCATTTTAGCATCAGTGGAACCACGTTGCGGCGCATTTTGAAGGATGATTTGCATTTGTTTCCTTTTAAGGTGCAGTTAACACAAGAAATATTGCCAACTGACCGTCCACGTCGCTTGGAATACGCCCAAACAGTCGCTCGCATGGTTGATGCTGAACCTGATTTTTGGAAGCAAATTGTGATGACCGACGAGGCCCATTTCATGCTCTCTGGCGGCGTTAATAAGCAAAAATGCCGCATTTGGGGGACGGAAAATCCACATGAGATCCACGAAATGCCGTTGCATGACCAAAACGTGACTGTTTGGGCCGGCGTTTGCACCAAAACCATCATTGGGCTATTTTTCTTCAACGAAAATGAAACAGTCGATCATTGACATCGGTAGATTTGACTCATTATGTCTGCGCACAAATGTGTGAAAAAGGTCTTGATGGTTACTGGTTTCAAAAAGTTGGTGCGCCATGCCACACTGCAAATGAAACAATCCAGTTTCTGCAACGAAAATTCCCTGGACGTCTGATGTCAAAAAGAGGTGACTGACTGGCCACCCAGGTCTCCAGATTTGTCCCTACTGGACTTCTTCTTGTGGGGTTATTTGAAAAGTCAAGTGTATGCCAGCAAGCCCCACACCACTGAAGAACTCAAGGAAAACATTCGTACCTCAATCGCTGCTATACCACCAGAGATGCTCGAAAAAGTAATGTAAAACGCAGCAAAACAGGCACATTTTGTTTTGGCCAATAAAGGTGACCACTTGATAGATGTTGTGTTCAAAAAATAGTCTCGATAAATTGTAAAGGACCATATTTAATAAAAATACCCGATATATGGAATTCAGTTTTTCGTTTACAAAGTTATTTCATATTTATATACCAACATAAAGGATGGCGCACCCTGTACATAAGCAATATCAAGAAAAGCAACGTAATTTGTCAATCAGTTTCCACATGGCTAGTCAATCAACAGATATATTTCATGCATGAATAGATTTCAATGAAACTATGATTGTAAAAATTTACTGCAGGCACAACTGATAAGACTTAAAATTGCTTAACTGGATAACATTTAGATCTTTTATTCACACTTGTATTTAGTGTATAGCGTGTTTAGTGTTTTGGGCTGAACAACAATCATATTTTACCTGACAACCTATGTGAAATCGACAGCATGCTAGTGAGCTGTGGTGCATAAATAGTCAAATGTGGAGACTGTGGTCTCTTCAGTCTCATGTTACGTTCGTCATGTCCTTCTTCTTTAGGTGGCTGTGCAGGCTGCGCTTTTAACGTAACGGGGCGTATGAATGATATAAGGCCACTTTTGTCGTGTCTCATGAAATGGGAGCCGATGTTGGGGCTCAATCTGCTTCCAGCACCTGCTAATCTGGAATTACATAACGAATAATTATTATGTTTTTATAATTGTATGACAGTAACATATTTTTTTTATTCTGGAGTAAGGAATACGGGTACTTACCTAAAAATAAGAGACATGGTCAAGAAATTATGATAATTTGAAAATCGTACAAATTTCAATTTGACAAAGCGATTTATTTGGTCTATAGCAAGCCGCACAAAACATATATACTGCAAGCCACAAAACATATACACTGAAGAAGGTTTAATTCCATGCTATCCAATGGCAACACGGTGACTTGTATGGTTGTCAGCGGCCATTTTTTGAGGGTGCGACGTCGTCGATTGTGCATTATATATTGCAGCGTTGCCAGCTCTACATTGAAATCAGATTGCTATACTTTACCTATATATATTTTATAGTTTTTGAAGTTGAGTCATTAATTTTCAGATAATGATTGTAGAAGGAAGATAAACCAAAATATGTGTGTAAAAATAAAAAAATAAATAAAAAAAAATGTTACCTTGTTTAATAAAGTATCGTCCCGACAAGTATTTCAGTGCGGACCTGTATTTGATCGTGCGGTCTTGGAGCAGCATGCCCTGACCTGTGAGGTCTTAAGTCAAAGTCACCTGATTCACGAGCCCTTTGTACTACATTAACAAAGGCACGAGGGGTTGGTTGCACTCGATTGGGAAACCGATTCGCATAAATCCGTGATGCATCCGGGAGCATTTTGTAAAGACTGCCCCCCCGTAAATAAGAATCATGTCCACAAGTTCAGCATTTTCGTAAACATGTGCCATTTTTGATTTCGTTTGAGCCACGCAACAAACACTACTATTCACTAACGCGTTATCGACTGACGAAAAACATCGTGATAAACGTTTCAAATTCTTTCGCTTTTTTGTTTCCGATGCGATGAACCGGTCAGGCGGATTATATCCGTTGTCGCCAAACACGAACATACATATAATATTATTATTGAGACAGGGCGGTACTCAAACTTCCAAAGGGCTATAACTTTGTTACTTTAATTTTACCAGAAAAATGGTAAAGGAAAAAACATTTCTTTTGATCAGATCTACTCACTGTTAAAATAAATGACTCAACTTCGAAGTCACCCTGTATATATACATGTATAAATTTGATGGGATATGGGAGATCTTATAACTAGAGATGATCAAAGTTGCGATTTTGTGATCGCAGTTAAAACTGCGATTGGGATTTACCACTCACTGCGAGTGCAACCTGTGATTGCGATTTGAAATTGTGGGACTGTGTTATTTCATTATTTCCCTTCTATAAAAGGTGAATTACATTAAATTGGTCATATTTAACTGTTATGTGTTAACAAATGTTATCACAAAAAATGAAATAACATTGTATTTGTGTTATAAAGGTTAGGAGAAATGATAATACCTTTTTTTTAAATCTTATAATTCCAAATTTGTAGATTTTATTAAAAATGAAAACAAATGTCTCTTATAATTATAATTTTAATTAGAAGAATGCAAAAACTAAACCCAACAGGTAATATGTTAAACTGCAACATTTCTTTTCAAGAACTTAACAAGGTTGGTTTATTTGCAGCTACAGCTACAGCTGGGTGTTTTGACTCCATGTGTCTTCTCAAATTCGTGGTACTAGTCTTATATGATATTTTGGCTGCACACATATTAGATTTTGAGTAATTTTCGTCGATTTCGGAAAAAAAATACCACAAATAACTTATTTTCCTCTTTTTAAACATTATTGAAGCTGAATAAAATAATACTGGCTAGTCAAACAAAGAAACAACCTAGAGATTGAAAATAGAAACCACCAATACCAATCCTAACAATTCGCATTCGCAGCTCGCAACAGTCACAACTCACAACCATATAAAAGCAACGGCATCCGCTCGTTTTTAACCGCCAATCGCATGTGTCACTCCCAAAGTGATTGCCGCGATTGTACGGTTGGGTTGGTAGCATGCCTACCGGCTCACGCGAACCCACCAGCGCACCAGCTCGCAACTCGCAGTTTGCTACGGAACGGGCTCGCAGGTTGCGAGTTTTTGCTCATCTCTACTTATGACAGCATGTGTTATTAACATTTTACGCTATCTTGACGAATAAATGCTTTTTTTGTATGTTAAAATAGCAACGTCAATAACACAAGCTGTTATAAGATCACTCATATCTACTTCTACTAATCTGAAAAGGTTCAGAAGAAAAACATATACTGCAAATACCTAAATATATATTTGTTATATAAATCTCATACATTTTTCTACAAACAAATCAGTATTAACATCATTATGGTCCAGATGTTTGTATTCCCCAGCCTTTGTTGGCACCTGCATAAATCAAAAATTAGAAACAAATTGAATTGTGTTGATATGTTTCTACAATTCACAGATTTCTTTTTTATTAGAACAATAATATGATTGTCCACGGGTACCCCACAGGAATTTTTCTCAGATGTGCTGATCATCATCAGAGATAAGTGTTACCACAGCCCCCCTGAGGGTATCCACGTTATTGTTCAATAAGAATACTTGGCTTTGATTTCATTAAAATTATAGTGAGCTTTACATATCAACCCTACTGCTCTGACAATAGCTGATTTAAAACGAAGTATGAAAACTAACTTGGACAAAAAGCAGTACAAATCATCATTAGTTATTGAGTCATATAAATGTTGTGTTCTGAAAATATCCTTCAGAGCTGAGCCTTTTGGTTAGATCATAAGTAATCTCTGAGCTTCTGATAATTCTCAGGTGCTCAGGGGTTGACAATGGCAGCTGTTGAACTTTTCGTGGTGCTCCACTGTTCTAAGAGTGATGTGGAGATACAAACAAGTACGATCTTCAAATATTACATTCCTAAAATGAGTATCCGCTACATCTCTGATCTTCCTCAGGATCTGCCAGAAGCCTGGCTAATGACTTAGATCACCTTAAAAAAGAAAGTTTTGATGTGGAGCTTGTCTTATAGTATTTACAAACATAGGGGTATTACAGCTTTGTGTACTTTTGTAAGTATTCTTCACAACTCCGAACAAAATGCATATGGCTCAAATAGTAGGGACCTTATTTAATTAAAATGAAATGTTAAGAAAATGACATGCTGAAAAAGTAAGGTTATTTTTGCAAAGCACAGAGCACAGGAAGAAACCCGCTGGAAATTTAAATCTGGCCAGTCGGACAACGTCAGTTGTGAATAAGTCGCCATTTTTTGAGGGTGCGACATGGTTGTCATATTACGCACCAGCAACACTGCTTTGTTTCCCATTCGTCCAACGACATTCGTCTATATGAGTTTCACCCCCCTGTAGCAAGCCGCAAGCCACAAAATCACAGCACAAAACATCCGCAACACGAAAACACCCGCATGCTTAAAACAAATGACATATTTGACATTTGGTATAAAAGATTAATGGCACAGGAGTAAAAAAAAACAAACACAAAATTGAAAAATCTGAAGATCAAAGTCAAAGCAACCATTCAAAATTCAAAACGACTAGTTTCGGATGAATGTCAAAGAAAGCTACAGAAATTGGTTGTACAAATTTTAGTTATTTTATATAAGAGATGATTTGTGGATTGCTGCAGTCGTGCAGTCAGTCTCACAAAGTATATACATGGCTTTCACACAGAGTGTCACATCTGTCAGACGTCTCCGTCAATTTTTAGGTTAGCGCAAACGCAAACTTACTTTTAACTAGTGATGTACTTTTTAGTTCATTTCGGTGAACTAGTTCAATAGATCTCATTCACCGAAACGAACTAGTTCTAGGAACTAGTTCACGAACGAACTAGATTTATGCAACACATAGTACACCATACATTAACGGTTAAAGGTGACCACGTTGTCATCTAGTTCGCGAACGAAATATATTACGCAACGCATATACAGCCTATAGTAGACAGTAGACATGGTTGCCGATCCCGTTTATAATATGATAAATTTCAACAGCTTTACTAGATGCTTTATTCAATTTCGAGCAGTAGATAGCATTTGTTGTCTACATTTCAGCTTTGTTAAAAAAATTATTACTATTATTATTATTATTATTATTATTATTATTATCATTATTATTATTATAGGGGCTAAGCAGCATCCGGCACGGTTGATATTTGGATGAATGATCGCTAGGAATACCATATTTAGTTTGCTTTCTTTTTTTTTAGTTACATCTGAAATGTGAAAAATTATAGTATCTGCTGCTCAATAATACGCATCTAAATAAAATGACAACTTTATTTTACATCTGAAGCGTCCTTAATTCTGTTCCATAGTTGACAAATCCTTAGATATGGCTAAAGTTCTGTACACTTGGCAATACTCTTTCTCGTTCACGATCGCTCACGCGTGCGCCGATACCATGCCGGCACCGTAGGCTGTAGCGTGTTGATAAGGACGTGGGAAGCTGGTAGGATCGAAGACCGAGCGTGAAAATTTTGAACTTTTCATTTTACCTGACGACCGAAAATTTGTTTGAAAATGGAGAGGAGAAATACAAGTGCAATTTGGAACCATTTCGATAAATCTGAAAACCTAAAAGCAAAGTGCAAATATTGTAGCCAAAACATCAGCATTGCAAGTGGTTCGTTAGGAAATTTGTCAAGACATATGAAAGCTAAGCACCCTACTCTTAAAACTGTTGCTGAACGAGAGATACAAGGACCACTTGCTGACGGACAAAATCTGGATAATGTGCCTCACCTTCTTGAACCACAACCGGCAACATCAAACATGCAAGATGAGCGGGTAAATACGAAATATCCTGTGTCGTCGAGTACACTGCGAGAATATTTTGTTCGGCCTGTCCCCTCGTCAAAAGCAAAAAACTTAGATTTGCAGTTAGTGCGGATGATTGTCAAAGAGTACCAACCCATTTCAATTGTGAAAGATAAGGAATTCAAAAAGTTCGTCAACATGTTGAACCCAGGATATTCTCTGCCCACGAGAAAAACAATTTCTCAGACTCTCATACCGAATCTTTATCTTTCCGAACTTGAAAAATTAAAGAACCGGATGCAGTATGTAAGTGCAGCAAATTTAACCGTAGATTCATGGACATCTATAAACAATGAAAATTTTATTGGTGTAACAGTTCATTTTTTTAGTGACGATTTGAAACTATCTTCAGCGTTATTGAACTGCGAATGTTACGGGGAACGTCACACTGCGGAAAATTTGAGTAAGTTTTTATTGGACACAGTAAAAGAATTTAACATGGAAAATAAAATTGCCGCCTGTACAACGGATAACGCCCCAAACATGATTGCAGCAGTGCGACGTTGCCAATGGCGTCATTTGCCGTGCTTCGCGCACACATTGAATTTAGTTGTACAGGAGGCAATTAAAGAGATTGGCGAAACTATAAAAAAAGTAAAATCTATTGTTGAGTTTTTCAAACGTAGCTCACAGGCTCAATCGAGACTGACTCATATACAAGAGCAGATGAGTTTACCACCTCGTAAATTGAAACAAGATGTGGAGACTCGCTGGAACTCCACATATAATATGCTCTCGAGGATAATGGAAGTCAAAGAGGCGGTTATTAGTACGTTAGCCATTCTAGAAAATGACTTAAGTTCCTCGTTAAGTAGCCATGACTGGAAGATCATCCAATATGGCACGCAAATTCTAAAATTGTTCCAGGATGTGACTAACGAAATCTCCGCAGAGAAGACAGTCACACTGTCCAAAACGCTTCCAATATTAAAAATAATGCGGAGAAAGCTGCACAGCCTCTACATTTTCTTACGCGGAGAATCAGCTCCAATTGAAATCATGCGTATGATGGAGAAATTAAGTGAACAAATACTAAAAAGATCTAGGAGCTATGAAGACAACGAGCTTGCTTGTCAAGCAACAATTCTTGATCCACGATATAAAAAGCTTGGATTCACAGATGAACAAAAATTCAAAGCTTCAATTGAACAGTTGAAAACAAAACTTTCAGCAATGAATCCACCCAATCAGAGTATTTTAGACTCAAACCAGGAGGAAAATGAATCCAAAAGGGTGAAAACAGACTCAGACCTTTGGGACGATTTTGACCAAGAAGTAAAAAGTCTTTCTGGTGCACAAAGTTCGTTGGCAGGAGGGATTATAGAGCTCGATAAATATTTGGCAGAACCGCTTTTACCAAGAACAGAAGATCCTCTAAAATGGTGGCAGGAGAGAGCGAAGGTATATCCTAGACTGTTCGAAATGGTGAAAAAACGTTTATGTCTGATAGCAACATCTGTGCCATGTGAGCGGCTTTTTTCGAAGGCTGGGCAAGTCCTGACGGAATGAAGAAGTAGGTTAGGAGCTGACAAAGTTCAAAAAATAATGTTTTTGAATGGAAATTTATAGTTATGTTGATTTATCACATTTTCGTTTTAGTTTTGTTTTTTCCTAATTATCCTTGATAGGAGCTAATTTTTATTTCTTCTGGCCTTTGTAACCTGCAGTCAGCAGCATTTGTTATGTTTTTATAACTTTATGTTTTTGTACAATTTTATGTTGATTCTTTATTTTCAAATAAATATTCTATTTTCTGTGTTTTACTCGACGTTTCGATCACTGCTGATTTGCTGAAGTAATAGTTCTAACCATATAAGATCAAAGTCCACGACAATAAATATATGCTTAATATTAATCCGCAGTAGCTAAGTAGCTATCAAAAAGTATATACGTAATACGTATGATTCAGTTTGTATAATAATGTGCCGTTAATACTTGGATTGGTGACCGCTAGGAAATACCACGTGTAGTTAACTTTTCATCTTTTTATCAAAAACGTAAAAATATCTTCTGCTCAAATTCACCATAATATAATATCAACAACATTCTTTTGCATCTGAAAAGTTCCGAATTCTGCTCCGCAGATGGAACATTCTTAGATCTCACGAAAGTTCTTTAAGCTTGGCAACATTTTCCTATCCCACTCTCGGTCTTTCGTTCGTTCACAATAGCGCCTCTCTTCTCTTGAACCTGTTTCGTTCTCTTTATCTCTTTCGTTCGTTGATTCGCAACGGCGGCGGTTCTGTTAGTTCGTGGTGAACGAGTGAAAGAGTTTCTCGGGGAATGAGGAACTAGTTCATTTAGTTCAGTCAGAAGAATCTTTCGTTTGAACTAGTTCGTTCGCGAACTACACATCACTACTTTTAACTTTAACTGTAATCTGTGACTGTACGGCATTGTGTTTAATGCAGTTTGAGGTGTTTTGGAATTGAGGTTTCAGAATTTTTGAATAATTTAATTACCCTCACTATATGAACACAAGAGCAGAAATAGACTGCAAACATGGTCAAGGATAGTAATCCAAGCCTTAAAAAAAAGCGGAAAGTAGATGATAGTGAAAAAGAAACAGAGACCGATTTATATAAGGTAAATTGAAATAAAATTAAAACAAAAGATACTGCGAAATCTATGACTGATACTTCCTTCATTTGTTAATATACCATTATTTCCTTTTCTAGAGAGTTGTAGAGTTTGAAGAAAAAGAAGCTGTTAACCACAAAAACTCCCAGGATGCTAAAATGTTTTTTGATTTGTGTCAAGATATTAGAGAAAGTATCCAACGTATACATGCCCACAAAAAAAATGCTTCATCAAAGGTTAGTATGCATATCATTTTTTGTTCCATTACTTACTTGAATTTTGAAGCTCTGTTTGGTCACAACAATAAATTGTCATAACAATAAATTGTCATCTCCATAACAAAGGTTCTAATGACCCTTCTTAGCTGCTATAGCCTATCAAGATACATATTTTAAAACAAAAGTTGATTCAGGTCCCAGTAATGATATGAAATGTTTATTATTCTTAGCCCTAAAGCTACTTCCTATTTGTTTACAATACTCTCTTACTCAAGTAAAAAACAAAAAACAGTAATTCTAAATTCCTTCATCTAGATACAATTGCTTAACCTTATGAATAAATATATTTAGAGGCGTCGCTTCTCTACTTTCTGTAGGTAATGCATTAAAAAGTCTCAAACCGTCACTAAAAAAGACATTTTTGCATATGGGATGTTCTAACAAATTCTAAGTCAAAAGTGTTATGTGATCTGCCTGTCGGACCTCGGTAAGCAATAATTGATTTTTGGTTTTAAAAATAAATAAGGCATTTGACATTTCAATCTTTTGCTATATCGAAAGCCATCCGAGGGTTTTTAACATTAAATTAATAGGCATATAACGTGTACAAAATAATATAGTGCGCATAGCCTTATTTTGTAGTAACCGGAGCCTTTGAATATCAGTTTTTTTGCATGATAGCAACAATGAAAAACAATAATTGAAATTTGGATATATGATGGTATTATATACAAGAAGATGACTCGAGTGACTAAGACCTTCAGATATTCTAAAAAATCCTGTTTTTTTTCAATATTTTTACTAACACAACATTCAATGAAAAATTTAGCTGAGGATCTAAAACTACACCCAAATACTTCATACTAGATGCATTTTCAATTTGAGTATCATCTATCTTAATACAAAATTTATTTTCTAAAAATGTATTACAGTTCTGCTTTGTCCCAAAAACCATGTATTTTGTTTTTTCTACATTTAACTTAAGCCTATTGACACCTAACCAGTTATACAGAATTTCCAGTATTGAATTCATAGTATCTACTACTTGTCTAGGTGTAGCTGAAACATGTCTTTAACTTTGGATTTTGGGATATAATACATCAAGGTACTCAATGTTGCACTTTTAAAGTCCACATTTTGACATTTATTATACAATACTTCTTCAGGGCAAATGTGAATAATAAATATCAACAAAATACAAAAATGCCAAATAAAGTTATATGTGTAAAAAACAGATCAAAATAAAGATGTTAAAAACAGTATCATAACAAACGAAAAATATATTACAATGGAGGCATGTCAAAATAGAAAAATCTAAAGAAATGAAAAGTCAATAACTCGATGAAGTAATATAAATTTCACAAAAAACATCAGTCAAAGTAAAAGCAATAAATATGTATAGAAATGGATATCAGCAATCTTAAGGCTCGATGACATGGAGCTAGTTTACTCGCCGCTAGTACGCTTTTTTACTAGCCGGCAAGTGAAATAATTGGCATGTAAAAAAGCATGCATGATTACATGTGGTTAGTTAACAAGCTTGATGTTGGTCCGCGCACTTGTTTCGTGTTTCTCAAAGCGTCAATATGAAGTGGAATGTAAATAATATTAAATAAGTATTTGGAAATCTATTAAAACTATCCCATATTATGGAATATAAAACAAAAGAATTATATGAATGCAAAATTGAGGGATTCTGCGTTCAACAAGTTATGGGACGAATTAAAAGACGAGGGTCTAGTGGAAGATATGACATCAAAGCAAGTGAAAGCAAAAATAAAAAGTATTAAAGATGCCTACCGCCGAAAATTGGCCAAAATTGAAAAATCAAAAAAGCGGTATGGAAACTGATGACATCTATAAACCCAAATTAGTTTGGTTTGGTAAAGCTTCTAAATTCATGTACAGATATGTAACAACACCGCGAACCGAACGACGTCGTGATAGTGGAATTGAAATTTCAACAAATAAGTGGACAGTACAACGACGATGTCTCCGATGGAATTTGAATATCTTCTCACGTTGATTGGATCAAAAATACGAAGACAACATACAAAATGGAGAGCTGAGATCACAGTACAAGAAAGACTTGCAGTCAGGGTGCGATTTTTAGCGACCGGTGATTTATACAGTAGTTTTGCAAAATATGTTTCGAATTTCAAAGCAATCAATCAGCTACATAATTCCAGAAGTTTGTGTGGCATTGATCGGAGTTTTAAAATATACAAGGTGATTCGGTGAAACGGCACGATTTGGGAACGCTTCTGGCGGAAAAATAGAGGAGTCGCGGGCTTGCGACGTAAACGTTGTGAATCTAGAGAGTTTGAAGTTCACATGGAGAAGTGGTTGTGCGGACAACCCGCATTTGCTGTGAAAGCTTATTACAAAAATGGTGAAAGTTTTGTGCGTGTACAACGAGCGTTTCGTTTACATTACCATTTGCGGCCCCGCGCTCCAGTACTTTTGGCGTATCTTAAGTCGAAAGTGTTTCAAAGTGACCCCCCCAAGAACTATCGAGGCTTTGAAACAACGGATACGCGAAGAAGTGGAAGCAATACCTCAATAAGTGTTACATAGTGTCGTAAACAGCTTTGTACCACGGCTGTAAGAATGTGTGTTTCATTGAATCACCTTGTACAAGTGAGAAAAATAATTATTTTACTTCTAAGTGCATTACACTGTTGCTCGCCGCAGCGGTATGCCTCTGTCCAAACATGCGCAACTTCGTCGCGATGTTGCGCTGAAAAACCAACAGAGCCTGGATCGGGCCGAACGGCGAGGTGTAAGGCCGCTTGTCCACGACACGAATTTGGGCCGGCACGGTATTTTTACCGGACGGTAGAAAATAAGTCTGGCTTTGTTCACGGAGACGTCAGTTTACTGAAGCCTACAGTGAAGTACGTTTGATTTATCAGAATGGACGATGTATGTACTGTCATTGCGTTATATTATTTTTACAAAAAAAGACAGCGAAGGCGTAGAAGATACTGGGTGCATCCATTGCTGCAAGATAGATTTAAATTTGGAACTTTTAATACATTATTCGAAAAGCTTAGAGAAGACGAAGAAAAGTTTTCCAACTTTTTTCGAATGTCAAGGGAATCGTTTGATAAATTATTAAGGATTCTAAGGAATCATTTGACACATGAAGATACCAATATGAGAAACTGCATTTCTCCCGCTGAAAGACTGGCTGTTACTGTTAGGTGAGTTTTTATTTTACTTTTCACATCTAGATGATTTTTTAACATTTTTTATTGTATAGGTCCAAAGTGTTAAGTTATTATATTTTCTAGGTCTTTATTAAAAAACCAATTGACAATGTCACAAACAAAATAAAAAAAATATTCTGTCTACAGGTAATAACACAAATTAACATTGAGCTAATTAAAAAAACCTGTAACTGAAAACCATATTAAGTAGCAAAATCATAAACTGTATCATTGGAACAACTAGATTGTGGGCTAGTATAGGTCTGTGAATACATCTGTTCACAGACCGAAGAATTATTGATGTTCGTTGACTGTTGCGAATTGTGTGTTGTAGAGTAACTTTGATTATACTGATCTGAATTTCTCCATGAGGCTGTTGTTGATGATGGACCTGCTGTGGTTTGCAATTCATAACGCGGTGAATGTAATTCATGGAACAAACTTTCGGATTGTTGTGTAAAATGTTGACTACTTTGTTTTTTGCATGTAATATTTTTAATTATTTTCATCACTTCATACTGAAATGTGACGATATCTTCATCAGAAAATGTTTCTACTGTTGGGGCAATACCCCGAAAAAAAGACATCATTCGGGTTTGGTTCTTTCCAGTGAAGCATCGATAACCTTCCTGATTTTCTCGTCTAGATCATTAGAGCCTACTTTGCTTTTGGATTTTTTTTTGTGCAAATAGTTTTTTCTACTCGTGGCAGATTTTGCGTTTCGGCTATCGCAATGGCAGCATCAGTTTGGGCATTGAAAGCTTCGGTATTAGACTGGTCTGCAAAATAAAAGTAAAAGTTATAAAAATTCCTAAAACATGTTTTTTACTATCATTTTCGGAAATATTTGAAAAAGTCACTCGGTGATCTGCAACTTTTTGAAGGAATCGTAGCTCTTCGTAAAACAAATATTTGCGTATTTTCTTCGCCCCAGCACCAGATTTTTTCTCCTCGTTTAGTTTTTTATGGCATTTCATCCAACTGTCTCTTATGTTTGCCCATTTTTTCATTACCATTTTCCCTAAAAATGTTTGTTGTTTTAGGTACTTAGCATCCGGAAATACATTCACGGACCTCCATTATAGTTTCAGAATTGGAATAAAAACAATTAGTAGGATTGTGCGGGAAGTCTGCTCGAATATATGGCTGTTATTACATAAAGAATATATCGCAATTCGTCAGTACATGGCAGAATATAGCTAATGCATTCGAGAAAACGGCAAATTTTCCGAACTGTATAGGGGCCGTTGACGGCAAACACATTAGACTTATCAAACCAGAAGACAGTGGGTCGATGTATTTTAACTACAAGGGATATTGTTCAATAGTCCTGATGGCAATAGCTGATTCAAATTATAATTTCATTTACGTAGATGTGGGAGCGTATGGAAAAGACTGCGATTCAAGTGTGTCATCGTTCTGGAAAAAACTGCAAGAAAATGCACTAGGCATACCAACTCCTAGGCAGCTTCCAAATACCGATGTACAGGCTCCTTATGTACTAGTAGGCGATGAAGCTTTTGCATTGCATATGAATTTACTTCGTCCTTATGGTGGTCGAGAACTAGACCAAACCAAGCGAATTTTTAATTACCGTTTAAGCAGAGCAAGACGTTTTATCGAATGTTCGTTTGGAATAATGACTAATAAATGGAGGATTTTTCACCGCCCATTGAATGTATCCATTGATCTTGCAACTGATATCGTTAAAGCATGTTGCATTCTCCAAAATTTTATTCACAAAGAAGAAGGCCTAAATAGAAATATAGCAGATACGGCAATGGATATAGATTCTGAACTAAACGAACTCACACGCTCAAAATCGGTACGAGGCAGTTTGTCAACGAATGATACTAGAACGAAGTTCGCTAGCTACTTTGTTTCCGAAGCTGGACAAATTCCTTGGCAAAATAAATTTGCTTAATTATTATTATTTGAGTACTGTATAATGTATAATACAAAAATAAAAACGTTATAAAAAGCACATACCCATGTCGTTTCTATCTTTATCTGGTAGAGAGTCAAAATCTTCTTTCATTTGCCTGCATACTTCCTTCCAACTTTCCAAAGTCAATCGTTTGTCTTTATATTCATCTACATTTTTATCCCATAAGACTGGCCTTTCCTGGACTAGAGTTATAAGTACCTCAGAGTCAATATTTACTTCTAAGCTCATTTTATCACGCACGGTACCACTCTCCTCAAGCATCGAAATATAACTGACTATGTTATCGCATTATCGGGTAGCACGCCGCTGTCCGCTGATCGGCCACACAGTGAATCTGACGGTTTGTTTACAAACCTACACGTTGATACATGTCTAACTGCATCACGGCGCGCCGTCCGGCTGCCGTCTCTACAGTGGGAATCCGGTAGTGCAAACGGTACCGTATCCGGCGAAAAAAACGTGCCGGCTCGTGGACACACATGAATATAATATAATGTATATAACCACCTATCCGGCAAGTTCAGCGAACGGCGAATATTCTGATCGTGGACAAGCGGCCTAACGCTAATCAGGTTCTCGACGGCGTTCTTTTCACCGTCTATAATAGCGCGGCGCGGTTCGTCGCGTGGTTCGGTTCGCGGTGTTGTTATCTGTATACTTTATCTGAAGTCACTTGAAACACTGTGAAATACCGGGTGCGTTTTATATATCTATATTTAACACGCTCTGTTGCTGCCAAATTTCGCAGCAAATATCCCCCGTATAAGAGATCAAAGGCAGTTTCACCGGTCCACGTGGAGTAAAGCACGCCTATGCGTGGACATAGCCAATGAGAAAGCGCGTATTTCAGAGCTCGGAACAAGTGCAGGTGGCTACTGAAAATTGAAACAGTTTAGCCAGTGCCGTGTAGCGGTGAATAAACGTGTTTTCTTTAGTCTGTCCGTGTTTTTTCATAGATTTTATTAGTTTGTGTGTTTTTGACTTTTGAATACTCAGTTTACTTGTTGATTTAATTGTTGTGTTGATTGTTCTTGTGTGTCCGGATTTTATAAAGAAAATTTGGTGCCCACGTTGGAAATGATACGGGATAAATTAAAAGATTATCCTGAAGATTTTTATAATTACAAATGCTTAGACTCACTGCACTGTATTGTAAAACTGTGTGGTTTTCAATACAAAAAATTAGATAAAAGAATGGTGATTATGGAGTCGTCTCGAATCGTTGAATTGCGCCAAGAATTTTTGCACAAAGTTAAAATCTATAGAGAGCAGAAAAGAAATCTGATTTACCTGAATGAAACGTGGTATGATACCCATGATGTTGTGCAGTACGGCCTGGTTGACGACAGCAACAAGTGCATTTTAAATGCACCATGCAACCGTGGAAAACGAATCATTATTCTCCATGCTGGCAGTGAAAATGGATTTATACCTAATGCCTTGCTGTTATCTGCCAAAAATATCAAAGAATCATGTGCCGACTATCATGAGGACATGACCTCCGACTTATTTGAAAAGTGGATAGAGCAGCAGTTAATACCAAACATTTCCCCGAATTCAGTGATTATTATGGACAATGCGCCATACTATTCCCGACAGAAAAACAAAATTCCGAATACAGGCACAAAAAAACAAGACATTATTGATTTTATGAAGGATAAGGGAATGGAAATACCACAAAAATCAACCAAAGCCATATTATTGGATCTTATTAAAAGACAAAAATTTGAAAAAGAGTATGTTGTTGACAATCTGCTTCAGCAAAATGGCCATGAAGTATTACGTCTACCTCCCTATTACTGCATTTTTAACCCGATTGAGTTGGTCTGGGCTGCTTTAAAAAAAAAAGTAAGAAAACATAATCAGACCCCTCAATTAAGTGAATCGCTATTGGCCACAATAAGAGATGCAGTACTTATCTCATATTGCTGCCACAGACCTATGGAAGCAGTGTTCTAGGCATATTATTGAAAAAGAAAATGAATATTGTGTTTTGCCTCCTGTAAATCCCGTTGTAATTCCTCTACAAGATGACTCTAGCGACAGCTCCGAAGGCGAGGATGATATATAAATACCTATAATGTAAGTCTTTATATACCTTTTTATATACCTACCTGCTATGTAAATATTTGCCTATGTCAAACGTTGGAATTCTGTAATTTTTCCATTTCTTAACTTTCAGTCAACATAAATTAAACTCCCAATATAAGTATTTTTTATCCCAAATCAAAAAAATAAGAAGATAGTAAAATCCATTTATTGTGATATAAAAACATTATTATTATCGTTCTAAATAAATGCCGCACGCCTATGATACGTCATGAAATTACAAAGGACGCGCCGACCAAAGGTTTTTATGCTATTTCAAGTGACTTCAGATACACCATACATGGCTTAATGTGTAGCTAGTTATCTCGCCGATATAATTACACGATGCTTTTTTACTATCCCCATAGTAAAAAAGTCAGCTAGTGGCTAGTAAAGTTGACCGGTCTTCAACTTTACTCGCCTACATATTGGCCAGTAAACTATCTGGATAGTTTACACGCTACCTAAATTATACAAAGTTAGTTTACTAGCAGCTAGTAAAAAAGCGCACTAGCGGCGAGTAAACTAGCTCTGTGTCATCGAGCCTTTTTACCAAACTAGTGTTGGGGATGTAGTACATTCACCTATGTCACATATAAATCTATAAAAATGAAACAAAATTAAAAAGTGTGATATTCCAGTCTGCTGAATTAAAATATCTGACTCAAACTGGAACCATAGAGTATTCATCGAAAGACATATCTATTCAAGGAGCAGCCACTAACATTAGGAAGTTATAAATTTTACTTTTGAATAAAATGGTCTCTAAGCCTTTTCTATAAAGAGGTCTAAGGTCCTATATGATATATTTTTCAAGAAATGGGATAAGTACATTGCTATTGCTACACATCGCATACAATTAGTGAAAAAAAAACACTAAAGTTAAAACCATTGATAACAAATAATTAGAATGAGGAATGCCACTAACAGCAAGAAATTTGCAACATCACTTTTCATCATTATGAAAAATTTATTAAAATACTTGAGGGCTAGGAAGTCAGGAATCAAATTAACCTTGACTTGAATTTTTTTGATATTTTGTTAATTTGAATGTTTACCATTTTTATTTTATAAAATATATTTGTTTCTTTTGTAAATAAATCAATAAATTGTTCCAGGAATCAGTTCTGAAAGAACTGCAATTTGATATTTTTGTTAAGTTATGCATTATCAAAAAGTTGAACAGAATTGACAAGCTGAAACATGTTGTTGAACGAGAAACTTTAGCTGTAGAAAAACAGAAGTGCGACAGTATAAAATTAAATTACCAGAATTTGGTGTATGAACTACAGCACTTAGTAGGTGAAATTAAGAAATGTCTTGCATTCAAGTAAGTAATTTGTTTAATTAAGCACTATTAAAAATATAAATATCATTCTCAACTAAAATTCCTTTTTAGGTCTAAAGATGAAGATATAGAACTGGTACCATTTGAAGAGTTCATGAAAGATGCTCCCAAGGCACTGACTGAAAAATTTATTGAGGTAAATAGTGCCATACATGGGATGTTGAACATTTTAATGTCCAGTTTTTTGTTTAGTATAATCCAGGTGACCCAGAACAAGCACATAGCTTAAGATTGACTAGACTAGAATGGGAATTAACACAGAGGAAAAATCTGGCACAACTCTGCAAGTCATTGGTTGAAGAGAAGCAGAAGCTAGAAGAAGGTATTTGTTTGATAGTGCAGAGACCTCAGGTTTATACCTTGGAACCTAGTTCCACTGTTTAGATTTTTGCAATTTTTAGTGGAATGTGTTTAAAATACTATGTATTAAAAAGTTTACCCAATGATTTTTGCTGCTTTTTCAAGTTCATTTTTTATGTATGTATATGGTTATTCATATTTATAAAACACCATCTGATAGACCTGATCAAACTGAATAAAAAGGAGTTGACATTTGTATCACTTTCAGCACTCTACTATGAATATCAAAGTCAACTCAGTATTTGTGTCCATTTTTAGTTCAATGATTAGATCTTGGAGGCCATTCTCTGATTTACTTCACAGTATGATATTAATTAATGGATATTTTCTTGCAGACTTGATAGAACATAGGGAAAAACTATCTGCATTGGGTCCATTATTGGAGAATGTAGTGAAAGCAACTCATCCATTACAAGAACATCTACAGATTTCAGAACATGAGAGGAGGGTTGAACATCATTTGGCACCCTTGCTGCCTGAACCTCTGTACATATTTTATGTGCATATTGCTGCCTACAGGAGTGTACACAGTGAGTTCAAAAATATTATGGATTGTGGATGTTATGACTTGTAGTATTTAAAAGACCCTATAGAAACCTTATTGCAAAATGGCATTAGGTTGTTTTTTTTTTGTTTAGAAATGCAGTATGTTGTAGATCTCAACACTCAGAACAAGTGTCCATGGGCTCAAAGTTTTTCTACAAGTTGTTACCAAGGTAGAAGGCATCAGTACTCTATTTCATCATGTTGTGGGTTCAGTAAATGATATGTAATAGCTGTCTGAAGTTTATTCACATTTATTTCATAATCCCTACTTGATGGTTCAGCAACATTTCAATTGAAACCCATGTGCCGGCTGGCCTGAAAATGCATGGTTGAATACAAATTTTTTCAAAAATTGTTTAGGATGATGCTGCAGTGTTTCTGCGGGAATTCATTTAAAAAAATTTCAGGATTATACAATTGTGTCGATTTAGCCATTAATACTGCTGCATTTTGTTGCATCTTTTATTATGTTTTTCTATTCCTCAAATGCTGGCAAGTAACTTCTCAAATGCAAGCAAAATATCAAATTTAACGAAACGTGAAGAAGCGTTTTCAAGCCTATGGGTTTGATGACAGCTTATGCGCTTACAATAAAAAAGAAAAATAATTTTCTCACACAAAACGATCATGCATACTGCTTGTCGCAACAAAAAGAATAATAAACAAATTCATTCACAATTAGAAAATAGTAATTACAGTAATTCATTTAAACAACAAATGTAAATGCAAAAGGGCCAACATACAGAAAAACTGCTATAAGAGCTGACCCGGTTGAGACAAAAATAATAATAATAATCTTTATTCCAACAGGGTATACCCAATCACATGAACAAGACAATTAGAAGTGATATCACAAAGACATCAGACATATATGTGGTATAAAAGAAAAACTAAATAAGTATAAATAAAGTGAATATAAAAAATAGAGACAAAATATAATAAAAAGCACATTGCAATGCACATCTCAACGTCCTACCACAGCATAATTATGTCTAAGATTGTCCAGAATTACACCAAGAGCATCACAATTAATATCACAGCCCATGCAAAATATAATAAAAGAAGTGCACATTCTATATATAAGTGCCATATTTGAGATATTTGTCTTGCCATTGGAGTTGTAAAAAATAACAGTGCAGCTTGTAACTCTTTCAGGTACTGCAAAATTAACTTTAAACAGTAAGTCTGGACAGTCCAACATATTATTTATTAACTTGTACAGGACTGTAACCTCATTAATATAACGGCGGTACGCTAAAGAGTAATAATTGAATAATTCAAAAAGGAAGTTGTGTGGAAACCCCCTTTTAAGATAGTATCCATAAACTTTAAAATGCATATATTTATAAGCTCTTACGTTGAACTGATTTTATCGCTAACGTTGCATTTTGATACAATGGTGACCAGATCAATGAGGGATCCTCTAGTTTAGTTCTTATAAAAGAGGTATATACTGTTTTGAGACTTCTTACATCTGAAAAGCTCGACCAATTTCTAATACAATATCCCAATACCTTATTTGACTTTGCAACCATTTCTCTTATGTGTTCTGCAAATATGAGCGTACTATCAACAATTACCCCTTAGTCATTGAAGGATTGACATCTTTCCATTTTAATGTTGTTGATATGATAAGAAAAATGAATGGGGTTGACCTTACGGGAAAAGCTTATATTATATTTGCTTGTGTGCATAATCATGAAATTTAAGTGCACAATTAATTTTGAAAACTACGAAACTAGCACTGTTATTGTTACTGATCATTGGAAGCAAGTGAACACTTCAAGAATAGAATGAGTCCATCAATATGACCAAAGAATACTTGTGTCCAATGATCTGATCACAGAACAATTCTGATTCGATTTACATAAAAACTTGGAAAAATGCATTGACCTAACCAACTGTTTTCTCTTATTTTAACCTCATAACAAATTATTTCTATGATGTGTAGCATATCCTTGGATAGGTACTAAACCACAGATTTTTTTTTTAAATAAAGCTAAGTCCAAAAAAGGTATAGTTTTTTTTTATTTCATGCTTTTTATTCACTCCAACTCTGAGAGGTTGTAAGTCATTTGTTGATGCCGTTTGTACGAACTACTTATTTGTTCTAAGTAAGCATGCATATTACAGAATCCAACCATGTTTATTTTATGTCCACAAACAAAAATGTTATGACGATATGTATACCCTATTTCACGATTATCCAGTATGCTTTGATGTCTACTGAGGTAAACAGCTGATCAGCAAGTGACATTTTTGTGTTAATCTGCAACGTTGGCATTAACGACAAATGATCTTTTCGTAATAAAAGAGCTTTTAGCAAGTACAGAATTAATCTATAGTGTACAAAAAATCAAAACAAAGTATGGCTCTGTCTTCCTGGCATTGACGGATCTGTCAGAATTATGTGTCATCTACGGATATGGAGAGTTTTGAAATATTACTAGATAATTAGCTGTCATTTTACCGTAATGGATACTCGTGAATCGTTTAGTAGCCTTCCCAGTTGATCAACAAATTTTCTCAGCTCATATACCAAAGACCATGTGTGTGCAAAGTTGTATAATAAACTGGCTTCTCATCTGAAAGCACAGCACAGGAAGTTTAAAAAAAAGTTCAGCTGGAACAAAATAATCTATATTTCATATTGTACAATGACATTACAGAAATTGTATAGCCACTTCAGAATGAAATGTTGCGCCACTATCACCGTAACTATAGTAGTTTACCTCAGACCTTTTTTTCTTGTTACATGGTTATATATCTTAACTCAGCTACAATCTGAAATTATTACAAACAACTCGCATAGAACTCATCTATGGTATAATGCTTTGACTATACTAGAAATTGATTTAAAATTTAAGTTTATGTTTTTAATTCTATTTGGTAGATTGAACAATTTTAAACACATGTCAATGGCTTTTTTTCTGTGGAAGATAATCTATGTATTGGATAACTAACATTGACTGTTCGAGTATCATAAACAGTTTGCACCTCAAGCTCAAATAAATTTTTATTTTTGAAAAAATATATGACATACACATAGATGGCATACATAGTCATGATTTTTTAAATTTCAAACACTCCCCTGCAAGTTTCATTGAAATACAGTCCCTTTATCAGACGTACTGCTCTTTTTTTGAAAAACAAAATTTTTTTGAATAAACCTATTGCGTTCCAAAAAAATAATCCCATAATTTAGAACACTTTCAAAATTAGCATAGTACAATCTTTTCAGACTCGAATTATTTAGATATCTTGATATTACCCTAAAACCATAGCAAATGGAATTAAGCCTCTTCAGCAGTTCGAATACATGTGTCGTCCAATCTAAAAATTCATCAATATAGATGCCTAATAATTTTACACTTTCACTCAACTGCAGTTGATGATCATCTATATCGATACATTGTGGCTTAACAACTTTACTCTGCTTAGTTTTAAATTATGTTACATCAGTTTTGGATTCATTCAGCACTAGTTTGTTCTCAGAAAACCATCTATTCACACTTCTGAATAAGAGATTCCCATTAGCAGTTAGGTCCTCTACACTTGTTCCACTCAACACTAAATTTGTGTGATCAGAATAGCAGATAATTTTATCATCACTACTAGTAACAAAAAACAGGTCATTTAAAAAAACTACTAACGAATTGACCCCCAAGTAGCCTGTGCTATACCGGTTTAAGTCAACTCAATGGACTTGTAAGTTTGACCTCCTTTAACAGTTTCAACCCTCTGTTGTCTATTATAGAGGTATGATTTGATCGACTCAAGTGCAGTTCCTCTTACACCATATCTTTGTAGCTCTAATAATAATATGTCTCTGTCAATGCAATCATAAGCTTTGGACAAGTCCAGATAGAAACCAACTGCTAAGTTTCCCTCCTCTAATTGCTTAAGTACTGTTTAAACAAATTGAAATATTGCAGTATCTGTTGGTCTCCCATGTAGGTATCCATGCTGATGTGTATTAAATAAATTACAGTCATTCATAAATTCTAGTAATCTTTTACTGATATCACTCAAATATTAGAAAAACCCGTTAAAATATTGATTGGAATACAATTTTCTAATTGCTTTGGATTACCTTTTTTAAAAATTGGTTTGATAACAGCTATTTTCAAATTCTCTGGGAATGTTCCTTGTCTAAAAGCGTTATTAATAAGTAAGCACAAAACATGTTTTGAAACTGGAATAGAAAGTGTTACTATTGTTGTTGGAACTTCATCTATACCACAGCTTAATTTAGTTTTTATCCTCCTCGACAGTTCACACACTTCATCAACAGTCATTGGTCTTAAGTATAATGATTGGTCGTTTTCTTGTAAATTGCAGTCAAAAGGTACATGTTTCACATGTTTCAGTAAAAGCGGAATTGCTGATGACAAATATTCATTGTAATGCCGTGGTATCAGATTTGGATCTCCTTTGATATGAATATCTTTATGATTGTTTTTACGTGTGGTTTCATGACATATCGCCCACATAGATTTACTTTTATTGTCCGAATTTCTGAATTTCTGAACGTATCTTTCTGATTTGGTCTTCTGCAACAAATAGCCATATATTATTTTTTTGTGTTCTTATACATTTCCTTAAAATCACCATCTGCTCTACATAGGGTGAACAGAATATCCAGTCTATTTTTGCACTATCAATATTGCAGAATATTTTTATGCTTCATTATATTTTTTGTGTAGATATGATGTAAGTTCCGTATTTATTTTATATGTAAATTTATGGTATATGTATTTGGAATTCTGGATTTGGAATAAATATTATTATTAAATATACATAATTCATAGTTCCTTGAAACATTTAAATATGACAACCAGTGTATTTTCACGTTTTCAAATCCCACTATTTGTAAGTTGTTTTTGGATACCTAGTTAAGTATGTTTAGGTGACGAAATTGGAGAAATCCGTTTAAAGGTGCAACTTTTTCACTGTATCAGGTCTATCTCAACAACCACAACCACAGAGGTATACAAATATCTGATACGAAATATGAATGTCTATATTAAAATAACTTTCATATCCAGTTCACTAGTGGGACACTCTGTATATTCCTTAATATTTTTAATTGTATTACCATAGGGATAGTGCAGGGTGGTCCTAAACAATTAAAAAAATGTGTTTCCATTAATTGCATTGTTGGTTAACCAGCTAACAGGAGTGATAATAAGAACGCAAATAAATATCTAATAACTTTTACATATGGTGTAGCAAGCCCACAATAAGCTGTAAGAGGGTACGGACTACTCAACGTGGACGCCCTGAATCTCGGAAACAACCGATGGAAAAGCTCGACCAGGGACACTTTTATCACTATCTGTCGAAATCCACCCCATACTGATTATAAAAAATTGTCGAAAGCAGCTTCCTCCTTAAGACTTCTGCAATATCTTTTATGGATCAATTTTTTTTTAATCGTCATTTGCAACCCTTAATTCTAGATATAAACCTCGAGGTTGAAGTGTTGGGGGATGCTACAGACGCAGAACAGTGGAAGGAAGCTGCTGAACTGTCTGATATACTGAATGAGGAGGAATCTGAACAGGAAGCTGATGCTCAAGAAATAGAGGTAATGTAACATCTGAAACGTATCCGGTGTTTACAGTCTATAATGCCCAACGCTTGTCTGGCCAATAAAATATATTGTCATATAAATAATAATTCCATTATGCACTTCGCACTATTGAACTACTGCAGAACCGCTTTTATTTTTCGCAGTCGGTTCTCGTTATTGTGCCATTGTGACTTTTGTAAGACTAACATCTTGCCTGCCTCATCTTAATTTTTATTTGACAATGCTGTTTATTTAGGAAGTTATAAAACCAAAGAAACGTAGACACCGCAAATCCGCTGTTCAGGAAGTTGAGGAAGTTGATCCATTAGAAGAAAAGAAGAAAAAATTACTGAAAACTCATCCACTCTCCATTCAGGTTACAGCGGCTATAGATCAACATTTTTCTCTGGTTATGCAGTTACGTTATTATGATAAATTGAAGATAATAACAGTTTCTTCAGACGTAAAGATACCTTCTGACGTCACTGGTGAGTAATTTATATATTAATCAACCAGCACCCAGTGATATTAATAATAATGATAATAACTCAACAACTCAAATTGTTTTGCGGATATGAAACGTCAACAGCAAAAGGTCCGATTTACATAAGTAAAAGAAAAAATATACATGATTAAATTAGAATAAAATAGTTATGTGGTAAAAAATATTTGTTTAAAGAATAGACAAAGTATGCAGCATAAATCTATACGCAGTAAAATAATCAATAAAATAGATAAATATGTAATTATTAGGAACTATAAAACTCTTGGAGAGAGTAAAAACACTAAAAAAAGGTAAATGATTGAAGATAGATCCACAAAGGTAGCCAGGGCTATTACATTATGTGCTGAGGCTACAGTGGTGCAATGTAACATTATTGTTATTCCTTAGATTGTATATCTGGGAATCTTTTATGTAAGTGAATTTGGAGGGATGTTAACGTTAGTATTTTTCATCTCTAAATGTTTTTCTACCAGACTCTAGAGGACACAGTGAGAATAAGAGTCTGATTATTCTCTTTTGAAGTATACAGATTCATTGGACCTCAGCAGATGATCCCCAATATAGCACTAAATATTTGAGATGGGAATATACAATAGAGTATTAGACGTTTAATAAGTGTTTTATTGTAAATAAGTGATCATTGGGCGGTGTAACTTGTTGACGCCGCTATTAGATCATAATAATAATAATAATGTATTGGTGCTAAGTACACAATATGGTTTGCGCACGTCAAAGAAGAAAATAATGGTTAAAAATCATCAAAGGTACAAGTGGAAGTAAATAAACAAAAAAATAATCATGAAAACACATAATAGATGACAAATAGGAGTGCAAAACGCAAGCACAGAAAAATTTAACCAAAAAAAGTATAAACGGAGTTAATGTAAATATCAAAAACACTAGTATAAGCGGAATAAAATTGATGTTATGGCAATCACATTGCGAAAACATGTCGAAAAGTGCAGAAAGAGTATATAAACAAAGATAAATTAGAATACCATAGCTCTATTGTCAAACTTCTTCAACCAAAATTTTGACTTTGTAATATGCAAACTTTAATGATTGGCCATGTAAAGTGAGTAGTATCTCACTTCCATCTGGAGGAAAATGCAATTGGTAACCTTACAAAAGTGGTATTATCTAAAATGCCTAAATAGGTTGTCAGATATACTCAATTTCCCAAGTATTATACTAAAAGGTGAATTAAAAACTTACCAAGACAATAAACAGAATGTATCAAAGTGATTTTCATCATTCCCTAGTTACTGTGAACTGGCACTACACGACCGAAAACGCACATCATATTTGATCATGAATAATATCTCTTTCGTAATCATATTACTTCCCACGCATACCCGTTGGAAAGTATTGTAATCGCGAAAATTTTCAAAAATGAAATATTTAGTTTTTGTGGATGTTATATGACATGCACATTGCACATCACGAAAAATCGTGTTACTAATTTCCGTCGGTCCGTCCGTCTGTCGGTCTGTCCGCTAATCTTATAATCGCATATAGCTTGAGAAGTACCGCTCGGATTTTGAAGGAATTATTACACACTGTTACTACTATGAAAAGCAAACTTGATAATTCTACGCACCTATTAGATATTTCATACATTCTCCGTACATTAGCCTTTAAAACAAAAACATTCTCAGCGGACGGGTTGCGTACCTACCGGCCACGGCAGCTACTCCCGGCGGCATGCCTTCAGCCTTGGTGAGTGCTTCTGGTATGGTGTTACAAGTATTTCTGCCTCGCCACAGCATAGTGTTTCCTATACTCTGACCGCGCTGCAACGTCTGACTGGGGAGAGGCGACGTTACCAGATGCACTACCGGTAGGGCAGGGAAATAATGTCTATGGACTAATTGTATGGAGCTGTTTGATTGAGTTTTTTCTCAGAGGGGTCTAGTTTGGGCTGAACATAATCCTTTATGAACTAATAACGGCGTTGCGTGGGAAGTGCAGCGTCAACCTACTAGACACGACTTTTTTTCGGGACAAATGCAAACTCGCGACCGCCTTAGCGAATTTCAAAGATCGACTGAAAGGTCTTTATGCCATGACATGACAATAAATTTTGCGTTGCAACATATGCCGGGACATGTATCAGAAATGGAAACTGTGCCGAGTACAACAATGCCCCAAGAGACTGCGGCGAGCACCGCGTACCGCTACTCGATAATCCGGTTTGTAACATGTACCCGGCGCTTTCCTACGGGTGAGTTTTTATTTAAACAAGTTGTAGCCATATATATCTATATATACATAACGTGCACCCGACTCGTGAGCCTGCATCCTGCTATATTTGAAACATACCTTGAACATTTCCTAATACGCATCCAATCATAACATGCGGTTAATCTAAATTCAAGCTCATGCTGTTTGGCCGTAGACTTGGACTATGTTTTGATGAAGATTTACGTCTTCGTTCACACTCTTTAAATTCTCTCAATGTAAGCTATTTCAAACTGTGAGAATACATGCTGTCGGGAAATCTGAAAAGCAGCTGTGTGAAAGTCTCATCATATCAATATGCAGGGTGAGCCAGTTGTGTGTGGATGGAGGATTGTGAGTTTAGTTTTTTGAATTCTAACACTGGATTATAGTGGTTGCACTAAGGCCGGTTTTTACTATTGACCCACGTGATCTAAAATTTTGTTCCTGATCTTAATAGACCAATGAGAAGGCGTCTTTGTAGTAATGTATCAACTTGCGAAAAAATAAGCGAGTAAATCATCTGGATTAGCCACAGAAACATATACTAAGTGACATATAAATCCGAACACCCAGTTAAAATGGTTTTATTTTAATAAAAGTTGGTGAATGTGTTTATCTTACTGTAAATAACAAGTGAAAAAATTTTCAGCCTTATCAGTTGGACATTCCGGTTTTTATACTGCTTTTTTTAATTCACTAACGCTCTAAAAATGAATATTTCAGCCGCAGTAAAGAATCAACGTTGGCGGATTTTGGTTCTTGACATCCTTTACGATCGGTTACGATGCCTAGAGTACGGAGACCTGTACGATTTCGTCAACTTAGTGAGTTTGATAGGGGCCGTATAGTGGGACTTCGGGAAGCTGGACTTTCTTTTCGGGCAATTGCAGTTAGAGTGCAAAGAAGTGTAGACACTGTGGTTAGGTGTTGTCAGGCATGGCTTGGAGAAGGCCGTACGCAAAGAGCAAGGGGCACTGGACGCCGCCGTAGAACAACAGACCGTGAAGATCGCCGCCTAAGATTATTGGCCTTAAGGGACCGTTTCTCCACTACCAGGTCCATTGCAAATGAATGGTTTGCAGAACACGGAAGACCTATTGGCATGCGAAGTGTTTACCGACGAGTGAGAAGTTTTGGCTTGTTTTCATACCGGCCGCACTGGGTCCTCCCTTTACCTCGAGAACACCGACGTAATCGCCTTGAGTGGTGCAGACAACGGTCACTCTGGGATCAGGAATGGAACAGTATTGTCTTTAGTGACGAGTCTCGATTTTGTTTAGGCATGCACGATGGTCGTGCCAGGGTTAGAAGGCGACGTGGTGAAAGGAGGAATCCACTGTTTTTTGTTGAAAGACATGTTCATCACACTGTTGGAGTTATGGTTTGGGGTGCTATAGCTTATGGTTCCAGGTCACCTTTAATCTTCGTCAGAGGTAACATGAACGCGCAGCGTTATATCCACGAAGTTCTAGAACCCCTTCTTTTACCCTATCTTGACACCCTGGCAGATCCAACTTTCCAACAAGATAATGCCCGACCACATGTTGCAAGAGTCACAATAGACTTCTTTCAACATAATGATGTCACATTGTTACCATGGCCACCAAGATCTCCCGACTTATCCCCAATTGAGCACGTGTGGGATATGATGGGTAGGAGATTGCTCAATTTGCAACGTCCTCCTCAGACTCTAGAAGCACTTCGAGAGGAGTTGGTGGTTGCCTGGAATGAGATACCACAGGAGGACATTGACCACCTGATCAGAAGCATGCCTAGGCGCGTTGGAGAATGCGTAGCACATCAGGGTGCATCCACACATTATTAAAGGTCAAAGGGCTTTAAAGCGGTGCAATCATTTTGAAATTTTTATCATTTACTTATTATGCTTCATTAAGTACTTATACAAAATTTTATTAAAATAAAACCATTTAAACTGGGTGTTCGGATTTATATGTCACTTAGTATATTTTTCCTCTTGATCCGGAGATCAGAACCTATGATCCGGATCAACAATGACCAATTAGAAAACGTTTTCGTAAAACTCCATCTAAAATTGGCCAATCGGAAGCAATTATCATAAACCCGCCTTGTAGATTATAAAAACATAAACTCCTGAGAAAATAGAAAAAATGATATATCGGTTGTTAGTTAAGTGTATATTTCAACAAACTCCTTAATTATCTCCCATTATTACATGTTTTTGCTGCTGTACCTAATCCGCATGTCGTCCTTCAAGGTAAAAATATATGTTTCTGGGTTGCAGTTATTGTAAACACCTTTATCTGGCTTGGACGAATGTATACAGCTGCCTTTGCTTTATTAATTTTTAGAAAAAAATGGAAGTAACCACTTAAGAAATTATACAACAAAAAGATAGGTCTGGGGGGAGGTGTATTAGAATTCAGATAAATCAGATTAACACTTGTGAATATTTACGAACCCATGCTCCCAAATCCATCTCTAGTATTCGTATCTCTACTCTTTACGGTTGATACATTTGTAGTGCACCCAATCTAATAACTCACGGCTTTTTGTTGAACAATTTGATGTGGTAGCACTGAACAGTCCTGTGACTGGACAGTTGAGCTGATAAAAGGCACAAGGTAGTCCTGGTTTCAACTATAATAAATATTTTCCTATGTTCTTTCTTTTCCCCAGGAAACGAACACACTGAAATATTTTTATACTTTGCATAAATCTCGCGCACACCTAGATGACGTGTGAGCCAAACACTGGTTCATCTATCTACAAATTACATTAGTCGGCAATTTAATCGGTAAATACTCGTTGATGCATTTTTAAGTAAATAATACACTGTTCTTTTCTATAAAGTGTTTAGTAATTGATGTCATATCAATAAAGGCATTATATCAGATTTGATCCACGATCGGCTATATTCATTAGATCCATTACTAGAAAGATGCCTTCTTATTGGTCCATTATGATCCGGATTAAGAATGTTGATTCTTGTTAGTAAAATCGTGGTATTTCAAGTTGTATTTTTTAAATCGAACCACTGTATATTATTGCATATTTTAATTCCTTGGACAATTTTAGTATGACTTTATGTATAACACTTGGTATCCATGTATTTGGCAGCACCCCCTCGGTAAATGTCGAGCCATCTATGAGCGAATCGCTAAATTATACATAGGAAACTCGGTAAGTTTGATGATTAGCCTCAAAATACGTAGATAATTGGCCAGTTTTTATCGTATCATCTCAGTATGCAATGATGTCAGCAACATTTGGAGTTAACTCTTCTATTATAATGCAGAAGAAACCCCAGGTCAATGGAGCCAACTAACATATTTTAAAGACATTCGACGAAGTGTTTTCTCCAGATATAACTACTATTTGATTTTATGTTAGGTGAAGATTGATTTTTAATAATAGTGATAACAATAATTATTCCATCAGGTTTGCATCCAATAACAGGAACATCCAATAATAAACATCATGTTCTAGATGCTCTTGTGTATAAAAATTCATTTAAAACATGAATAAAAACATTATTACAAGAACTAAAAACATAAACATGAACACGAATGACAGTAAAAAATACACAAAAAAATAAATATATGTATAAAAATTACGGCACTATTTTCAAAAATAAACATTGCTAGTTACGCACCGCATATATTTGTTTAAAACTACTTGAAATCACCTGAATGGTACCATTATTGATATCGCAACTTTGTCAATAAGTGTCAAACACATCACACATCCTTTTAACAGGATACATGTTTGATATGTTGCTTCTACCCCTAGCACTAAAAGTTACATTAGAGCGAGTTGATTTCTTTGACACCACAAAAGAAATAATAAAAAAGATAATTATTCCGGGCAATCAAGTTTATTATTAACAATAAAGTGTAAAGTCGTTTAATTTACGCTAAACTAACGTATCAAAATTCATGACTTCCAGGATATGCCATAAACTTTGAAATTGGTGTATTTCAGGCTCTTACGCTGGACAGATTCAATAGCTGAAATTGTACTTTGATAAATGGGCGACTAAACCAGTGCAGCATATTCCAGTTTGCTCTTAATAAAATATGTATATATTGTTTTAACACAACCAGTTTCTGACACAGGATCCCAATATTTTATTTGTTGAAGAGACCATTTCACTGATATGCTCAAAGAACTATAAAATATTACCCCTAGATCTTTGAATTTCTGACATCTCTCTAGATTGGTGCTATCAATGTAAGTAAACAGGATATAACAGGTTTATATTAAGTCGCCAACTCACCATTTACTCAACCTATTTAGGTCTTTTAATATCATTACTATTAACACCGTGTCAAATTTCAACCTCCTTTTATTTTCTCTGTTTATCAAAAAAAAGAAAATCTTCCCGCATAAGCGTTGCTTACATTAACATTTTTTTTAAGCGTTGTTTTGTTTCAGCTAACACAGCAAGGGAAATTCTGTGTGGTGAATCTGTATTATCAGGCCTGACAGATGACGATGATGATGGCAGAGAATCTCCAAATCCGGCAGTCTCTTATCAGCTGAAGCGAGCCGGATTCTCCTGTTTCGCTCAGGTAGTGAATGAAATAGGCCACCCCTATCGCTGGGCGCAGCGGGTTTGTGGTACCGATTTCCTCACCAAACAGGTATTGGAAATAAGTTAATATGATACCTTGTGGTAGTCTATCAGATAAATTTATATAAAATAAAGATGATAGTGATTCTGCAGGGTGTTGCCGCTCGCAAGCACCACCGAATCTAAAAAATTTAGACTTCTTGATTTATTCGTAAAATCAAAGTAAGTAATTGGCAAGGTCACATGTTCTAAGCACGATCCCGTGCTTTAGCATAGGATCGGTATTCGAGTTCGGATTCGAAACTACGAACATTTGGTTTTTGAATACTGTTAGTGGCGGATTTTAGAAAAATGTCCCTGTCGGTGATTTTTCAAGACGATGCACTTGTTCGGTAAATCATATAATTCAAGTGATAAATTTCTAGGTTCATTTGTTTCATTTTATACAGTAAACAGAATCATGTAACTTTCAACCCTCGCCATGTTTTTCATTCAGGGAGGGAAATGCTACTGCTTAATAAGGCATTGCGGTCAGTGATAGCGATTTCATGAGTTAGTAGTTAAAACAAAGTTTATACCTATGTCAGATCAGGCAGCTCTCATTTGAATAGGATTCTCAGCCCCTCTGTAAAAAAAGACGGCAACTTTAGCATTACTAATCTGATAGCCCAAATTGAAGATAGTGAGATTCCTCAAAAATGAATTAAACATATCTGTTGCTGCTACTGCAGAGGCTTGATGTCATTTATAGTATCGATATGTACAGTTCAGAAGTATCAAAATATTAGCACATTATGTTGCACAAAAAGTATCTATCGCGTAGCGTTTGGCCTGTATTAGCATTACAAGCGCAGTGCGAACAACGCCATTGAGTGCAATGGAAGCTCTGTTGGATCTCCCACCGTTGGATCTGGTGATCCGCGGTGAAGCGAGAGTAGTCGCTCATCGACTGTGGAGTCAGGGCAGCTGGGCTTTCTTGAATCCGGTCAATGGGCATACTGCCATCTTAGTCGAATTAGAAAGGGAGGACCCCGTCCTTCTAAGCAGGGGTGATCGTATTACCCCTAAATATCGCTTCAACCGCAAGTTTATTGTGGAGTACCCAACGAGGGAGGAGTGGGACGCCGGTAGCCGAGGACTCTCCGAAGTGAGCGGGCAGGTCTGGTACACGGACGGCTCGGTCACCGAAGAGGGCTCAGGTGCTGGGGTCTCTGGACCTAGAACTAGGCTATCTCTGCCTCTCGGTGAGTACACCACCATTTTCCAGGCGGAAATCTTTGCGATTCTGGCTTGTGTATCTCACATTCTGGAGGAGGGTGGGCCTAGGAGAAGAATAACAATCATATCCGACAGCCAGGCTGCAATGAAAGCACTAAGTGCATGTAAGATTACTTCGAGTCTTGTATTGCAATGCAGGGAGGCTCTGGATTGCCTCGCAGCGAGGCATCCGGTATCGTTAATATGGGTACCGGGGCACGCTGGGATAAGGGGCAATGAGACGGCGGACACTCTGGCGAAAACAGGATCAGCCAGCAAGCTCGTTGGTCCTGAGCCAGCTCTAGGAGTAACCGCGCATAAAGCTAGGAGGAAAATGGAGACGTGGGTTGCAAGACAACACTCTCAGAAATGGAGAAGTATCTCTAGACATCTCCGCCAGGCACGAGAGCTCATTGAAGGGCCCAGTGCTAAGGATGGACGCTTCTGCCTATCTCTGGGTAGAGCCAACCTAAGGTTGCTGGTGGGACTGTTGTCTGGCCATAACACGTTAAGGCGGCACCTGCACGTGATGGGGGTGGCTGAGGATCCCTTGTGCGAACGCTGCGGAGTAGAGGAAGAGACCTCGGCGCACGTTTTGTGTCGCTGTGAAGCTCTGAGTTACTATAGGCAGACTATACTGGGGTCCATTACTTTGGACCCTCAGGACGTAAAGGAGCTTGGACTCAAGGCGATTCTCAACTTCGCTAAAAGGGCGAGGCTTGTGATTTAAGTATTGTAGAGGTGCATAAGGGCCCGCTTAAGCGGCCTATGCACTGGCTCCTTATGGTGGCCGGGATGCCTCTAAAATTCAAGATTCATTCATTCATCTATTGCGTAGATAATATTAAGTTTGGATTAATTTGAGGAACAATGGCAAAGCTATTTTTCTATATCGGGGGTGTTCACTTTCGCGAGGTGTAATATTAAAGACATATATCCAAATAAATAGTATATATTCTGCAAAAAATAACAGTACCATTGTATTCAAATGAACCAAATGCATACTAAATATGGGTTTATACAAAAATATGAAAACAACATTTAAAACGTAATATTTTTATGGACCTTTTGCGAAAAATGAGGTTATTTTGGACTGTTTAAACTTTCTCTTCAAGTTGATTTTTACTATTTTTTGTCTTAGATCATGCAACACAAGCAAGCTGTTGTATTCTACTACATCGCCCTTTTCCTCAGACCATTGGATAATGTCAGTAATAGATCGGAAAGCTTGGTTTGTTGAAATAAGTTTGTCTTCTATGTTTGACATATTAGTAGTATTGTCATCATCCCTTTCCTATTTCTTTTTTATTTCACATACGGTTGATTTGGCAATTCCATACTTTTTAGCAAGCAGGCTCACACACTCACCGTTGCTCAGAGATTCTAGCAGTTCACCTTTTTGTTTTAGGTTCAAACATTTCCTTATTGTGACATAGGTAAAAAGAGGAATCCCCATATTATTACAAGACGTGCGTCGCAGTTCACTATATCGGGTTTACCGCTGTTCACAGTATCGCGAAGCAATGATAAGATTTGTGTGTTTACACTACGGGATAGTTCACTCGAAGCGGTGTTCACTAAATCGCGACTCCACTGTATACCCATAACTTGGATACAACTAGGGTTAGGTTAGGTTTCTTTTGAGTGCATCACAAGGGCCGATTCAGGTTTTCGTCTAGAGGGGAGGAGCAAACGATATTTGGGGCTGGTCATTTTTCAACCTCAGTGGAACTTCTAGAATGTATACTATTATTGCTCCTTAAATCCATTGTGTTTTATCTGGTCAAGGACAGCTTGACAAAAAAAAAACATGGAAAATGCGCATAAATCATCAGAAAGGCAATATATTATTATATGAGAACAAAATAAGTACGTGGCATTTATAATTAACTAGTGTAATAGTATTAAAGATTCAAACATAAAAAACTGCTGTTAACAGAAAAAAAAAACATTCTGAGAGACCCCGAGACATATCCTAGTCCATTCCACTCAAAACAATGTCTTTGACGGCGAAAATGAATATGCAACCAAAAAATTCACATTATCGTATAGACGCTAGACGAGACAAAGAAGGATGTCTATAGATCGTGTCTTGAGACCGTCTCCAGACGGCCTATAGACAAGTTGCGGAGCGGGGTCTACTACTGTGTACTAAATTTAAGGATTAAGACTCTGAACTGCCCATTAAACAAATCAAGTAAATGGTGCAAATACTTAACACAATCAAGCACTTCTATTATATCAGCAGGTGGAAAAAATATCAATAGTTATAGTCAATTATTTTTTTAAATTCAGTATAGATGTTACAGTTATTTTTCAGACTTTCGTTGTCGAACTTATATTTACGGCATAGCTGTTGTTTTCTCAGTTTTCGAATCGGTGTTGATCGCATGTAAAAATGTTGGAAATCTTTGGAATAAACTATATCTGTTAGATCGTAATTATTTTGATAATGTATGTTTGGAAGAAACAAGTACATGAATACAGGGCTGTACATATTCACGTGTAGTGCTGAAGCTCTGTGATTTAAACGAATTCAATATAGCAACATAAATAAACACATATGCGGGAAGAGATGCGTGACGTGTCATATCGACTTTGATCATCGATTGGCGCAGTTTCTATACAGGCCACAAGGCCACAGGCGCACCGCTGAACAAATCTCATGTCTATTTCCAATTTAGTCATTCATCTAACATAGTGCTTCGCTACAACACCAACCCCTAACAAGATCAGTCAAGCTTTAAACTTTTCAAATTACTATTGAGCAACAAACAGAACACTTTTTAAGTGTATATAGCTAGTATTTTAGTCAGATTCGTCACAAGTCACAATACTCGTATATACAGTGTGTAAAGTTAGTAGTGGATCAACGGAAGTCAGGTGATAGAGGTCCAAACCTATCGAATAAACCCCTATATGTGTGATCCGAAATTTTATAGTTCAGGAAATATTTGCAATTTTGTGAAATTTCGAAAAAAACGGGATCATGAACTTTCAATCATAATTACAACTAAACCATTAGGTTTAGGGCTGTTATTTTTTTTGAGATGAGTTAAATGGTTAGTTTTAATAATAGTTATGCCACTTTTTAACAGAGCTAATTAGAAATCAACGCAAAAAATCTGAAATTCATTTTTTGTGAAAAATCTCTTCCATCCCTCAACTGTGGAGGGCGGTAAAAAATGTGGTTGTATTTCTTCATTCATTTCATTGTAAAAACTTTTTCAATCCATGTAGAATAAATCCTGAAAATTTCAGCTTAAAAAATCTGTAGGTATGTTTGACGCAGGGTATCTATACATGTAAATTCTATTTTACGAGTCCAAGCGACTTGATGGATTTTGACATATGAGGTACTGTTAATTTCGTTCTAGCAGTGCGAGTGATACTGTGTATATTAACATCTTGTAAAATCAAAATGGCGGATTTTTTACGCAAATAGCCAAATTAGCGTAATGGGCTTGGGCATTCAACTCGGCATTCCAGGAGCGGGAGCGTTCAATCTTCGGTCCGACCGAAATTACTAAGTCACGCAATCTGAGTAGAATCATGTCATGTTCTCTGCGAAATTATGCTGAAATGGATTGCTATTAGGATGCTGCCCTAGGAAATGGTCGAGGAGTTGCTCGCATGTACGAGCCCCTTCACACTTCAGTTGGACCACTTCAAGATTTGTACCAAAATATGCCTTTATAAACTAAACATGACGAAACTATTTACTTCTAAAACAATTTTCTCAACATTTTAGTTACACTATAGCCGTAAAAAATACATATGTAAAATCACTTAGACCTATAACTAATAGAACAT